TGGGAGCGAGCGGAGTGCGGGAGGCGGGGAGCGAGAGAGCAAACGCGGAGAGGGGGGCCGGCGTCTTCGCGCGCGCCTCTCTCCGGCGCGGCCACCGCGAACCAGGCCGCCTCCGCCCGCCCCCGTGCGCGCTCTGAGCCGCTCTCCCGCCGGGAGCCGCTCCGCGGCAGCCCCTGGAGCCTGGCCGGGGGAGGGCGGGCGGCAGGAAACGCGGGAGGCGAAGGCGAAGCTGCTCCGCGGCGGCTCGGGCCGCCTCCGGGGACGGGGACGGGCCGTGCGCGCCGGGGGAGGGGGAGGCGCTGGCGCAGGGGCGGCCGCGGGGAGGGCCGCCTTTCCTGCACACGCACACACGCGCCCCCGGCCCTCCGCCGCGCGGGCGGCCGATGTCCGCGCACCGCGGGGGACCCGGGCGCCCGGGGCACGGGGGTTGGGGGAACGTGGACTGCGTGCTGGTACGCGCAGTGGCCGCCGCCGCTCCGCCGAGCGCTTCCTGCACGGTGGTTTGGGACTGCTGCTCGGAGGTCTGACGGGGAAGGTCTGGGCTGACTGCGCGCCACGGAGGCGTCCTAGAGGCACCTGAAGCCTTGTGCTCTTCTGTTCCGCGCGGGTGTCTGGGGAGGCCCTAACCGAGCCCGAAGGGGCGGCCAAAGATGCCACCGGCGCTCGAACATCCCTTGGTGCTAAGGTATCCGGCGCTTATGGCCTTGACTGAGAGTCCCCCACTTTCCCCACCAGACTGAGAAGCCGTCCCCTGCCAACCTCAGAAGAGACTAGGGTCCACACCTTGCGGGTGCTACCGCCCCCTCCAGGCATTTGACCTCCCCGCGTCCCCACTCCCAAAGGGCTCCGCCCAGCAACATTCCTCCGGGTGGGATCACCGCCCAGAGCAGATCCGTGCTCCCCTGGACTTGGCCCTCTCGGCTGGGTTGCCCTGGCTAACCTTACGCAAAGAAGTCCTGTGATCTGACCTAGCCCCTCCATCCTTGAAGAATAGGAATCGTAGGTCATTAAAATATAAAATCCCAAGGGGTGATTAATGAGGGGAGACAGTAGGACATCAAATAAGAAAACATCCTTGTGCTTGAACCAACCATTGTGGACCATATCGACGACCTTGTAACAAGGTTGGCAGTTTAACCTTCACTGAACATTTCCTACATGCCTTATAATGTAATCCTCACAACAGCTCAATGAACTAAGTACTGTATTTATCATCCTCACTTTACAGGTGAATACACCGAGGCTCAGAGAGGTTCCAGCTTGTCCAAGTACACAGAGCTACCAAGGTAGGACCGGACCCCAGAGCAGGAGCTCTGTGCATAGTGCAGTGGGAGCCAGGATAGGGAACAACTTCCCCTATGGGAGGGGCGCTGCCCTGACTTTTGATTGTTCTGAACCTCCGTTCTCTTAGGTATGTGGTGAAGGAGTTGGACCAGATGATGTCCACAGCCTTGCTCTTCTGGAGTGAGGTAGGGACAGCCCTGAATCACAGGCTAGATTATCAGGAAGTATGAGGACAGAGAGGAGCGGCTGAGCCCAACTCCTCGAGAGTACTCTGGACAGCTCTGGGGAACCCAGGCCAAGTTCTCTCTGTCCCAACTCCTCTTTCTAGACTTCTGCAGACACCGCTCCTGAGCTGCACATAGCTGGAGGGTTTGCGTGAGCAGAGTTCACCAGAGCATCTCCACAAACAAAACCAAAAACGGTCCAGATGACAGGTAATCTCGCTTAGCTGGTGTCTCACTTGACAGGACAGATATCCTCCTGGTCATAGGTTCCAGGCATCTGCCCTTCCTCAACTTCTCAGTTCAGGTCTCTGAAGGAGCATTTTCCTGTTTTCCCTTAGTCATTTGTGTTTTCCTTGTAAGCCATGCCAATATGGATTATCCACTGACACCTACATCTGGGAATAAGTTGAAAGCTGGGATAACTTTGCTTGACATTTACTAAGTGGTTGAAGGCCCTGCCCAGCAACCTGCCTTTCAGCCCCCTCTGTCTCCACTTATGGGGTGGCCTGGCCCCAAGACATGTGGCTAGGACCAGCCCTGACCTGAAGATCACCAGCTTCAACACTCTCCGTCGGCCTGGCTCCAGGCCAGGTTCTGATCTCATGCTTACTTTTAAGGCCTGGGCATCCCTCTGGTTCCCAGATCCTACCCTGGCCTGTGTTTCAGTTTGGATAACTGGATTCCTGGCATGCTTCCTAGGTCTGAGTTTCTGCCTCGGTCACCAGCCTTGAGTCAATATCCCCCTACAGCTGGAGTCCAGTCTCTTGCTTTATAATAATCATTCATTCCTTCAACAAATGGTTTACAGCATCTACTATGTGCTGGGCAGTGTCCTAGGAGCTGAGGAGGCAAGAATAAACAAGCCAAACTAAAATCCCCGCTCTCATAAAATTTACATTCTAGTGGAGAGAGAGAGAGAAATAATAAACAGAAATAGTAAGGAGATATCTTAGCATGTCAGCTTGTGAGAAGTGCTTTGGAGAACAAATAAAGCAGGAAAGAGGGTTGAAACTGACAGAGTGGGGCTACAATTTGAAATAGGGGGTCACAGAAGGACATACTGAGGTGACTCTTCGGCAAAGACCTCAAAGAGGTAAGTAAGCAAGACATGCAAAGAGTGTTCCAGGTGGAGGAACAGCAAGGCCAGAGGCTCTGAGACAGGAGTGTGCCTGGCATGTTCAAGGAACAGTCAGGAAGCTGGTGTGTCTGGAGCAGAGTGAGCAAAGGGAAAAGTGGCAGTACCCAAGGTCAAAGACAGGCCGGGATCAGGTAGGACCGATTGCACCTGATGAACTGGGGAACCACTGAGGGTATTGAGGGGAACAGTGACACGATCCGATGTATTTGAACAGGATCAATCTGGCTGCAGAGTGAAGAATCATTGACAAACGAGGGAAGGTGAAAAAGGTGGAAGCAGGGAGATCAGCTAGGAGGCTGATAATAAGCCACATATAGTGGCAGGAACCAGGGCGCAAACAGAAGCCGTTAGGTTAATGTTCTTCTCATTATATTCTTAAAATGTTTTAATGTTTATTCATTTTTGAGAGACAGAGAGAGACAGAGCATGAGCGGGGGAGGGGCAGAGAGAGAGGGAGACACAGAATTGGAAGCAGTTTCCAGGCTCCGAGCTGTCGGCAGAGCCTGACGCGGGGCTCAAACCCACAAACAGTGAGATCATGACCTGAGCCAAAGTCGGACGCTCAACCGACTGAGCCACCCAGGTGCCCTTGTTCTTCTCATTATTAATGGAATAATATGCATCAGCAGATGCCAAGTCCTAGGACTGTGGGAAACACTGATTTACAGGCTCATCTACCTTACAAGGGACTCAGTAAAGACTTAAGAAAGCGTCAGCCCAGGTCTGTGTGGCTTAAATTCTCATCTTAGCAATACTTTCTCCCACGCCCTCTCCCTACACACAAGAACCAGAAGCCAGTCTCCAAACCCTGGCTTAGAGGCTGGGGCTGCTTTGAAAGATGATGCCCATTCTCTTTCAGAGGATGTTGGGGACTCCAGGGTCCATCTGGCTGTCTTTGAGCAGGATCCCGACCCTGGGAGGATAACCAGGCTTCCCCCTGCTGTCTGTCCTTTTTCCAGGCAGGGCTGGACACCCCTTGCCACGCCGGTGCCAGCGGCAGGGATCTGCCATGTGGCAGCTGTCTCCTCCCAGGGACTGGCTCCAGTTTCCGACACCCTGTTCCCAATCGATCCCATCATCCATGTCTGCCTCTGCTCTTGCTCCAACAGCAGGGAGTTCTTCTTGTACTTTTTTCTTCAAACAAAACCAAAAACCCCCCAAAACCATAAGCCATCTTACAAACACCTCTCATGTATTTCTTCTCTTTCCCCCACGTATTTCCTATTCGTGTTTACATTGAAGTGCTTCTTTCAACCAAGTAGCTCAGCTGGTTTTTTTGTTTAAATACATTGTTTGTTTGCAGTTCTTTTTTTTTCATGGATAAGTTATGAATGATGGCTCCAAAAAAGATTAGCTGAATGAATCTAAGTCGCTTTTCTCTTCTCACAAGGCATGTTTTTTAAACCGTAAAATTGGGTTTCAGGCATCAAATGTGGTCTGGTGACACAGTTCGAGTAATAATAATAGCTGCCATTTATTAAACACCTACCTACTCTGTGCCAGACACCTTGGTATGCATCATCTTAATCTTCACAACTGTCTGAAAAATAGGTGTTAGGATCCCAGTTTCACAAATTACAAGACTGAAGTCCAGATGGATTAAATACCATGCTTAATGATACTTGGCAGAGACAGTGACAGAGCCCAAACCCGGTCTGTCTGACCCCAAACTCCTGCACATTTCTCTACTCCACATGCCTCTCCTTGAAGATGCCCTTCTATGACTGAGAAGTTAATAGTCTTAAAGAACTAAAGAACGCCCCTGAGGCTCAACACCAGGAAAATGTAAAATGACTTGGCCAGGGTCCCTCACCAAAACAGAGATGAAACTGGCCCTCCCCCTGAGGTGTCAGGGGAGAGCATCTGGCCTGGGGAGAGTCTATGACTAAACCCTTCTGGAGTTGAGGCCGAACCTGGGGTCGACCAGAAGAGCCCGGAGCCACTCCTTCCACCCGTGTTCTTTGTCGGTTTGACAACAGAGGAAGGACGGACATATCGGCTTGTTCCATATAGGCTGGACAAGCCCCGAGCAGACGTAGGCAGGCAGTTTAGTCATAACTGAGCATCTCCAAAAGGACACAGACTGGCGAGGGGGCCAAAAGCCCCCCTCATTTACAGGTTTCACAAACAATAAGATCCTTTACAAAGGGGGTTATCAATGAACAAGAGGTACAGTTTAGGAACAGAACCTTGGCCAGACGGGAAAGTTTCTGGTCTAACCACTCATCAAACTTTAGGAAGCAGGTAGTCCTGGGCTCAAAGTCTGGCTTACCAGTCATTAGTGGTGCCACCTTGGGGGAGTCACTCACTCTCCTGACCTTCAGTTTCCTTGTCTGTGAAGTGAGAATAAACAATTCCTCTTTCACAGCAAGTTTATTGTGAAGATTAAATAATTACAACAGCGAATGTACTTCGAGTACTCACGTGTGCCAGGCGCTGTTCTGAGCACTTTTCATATCATTAACTCCCTTAGTAAGATAATGCGTACGTGCATGTAAGGTACTTAACACAGTACTTAGCTCTTGTTAGGCATGCAACTAATAACAATTATAGTAATAATACCAGCAGATCAGTGGCAAGATCAGTGCTTCCTGAGGCTCCCATGCTGTTATTCGGTCGATGGCGGTTGTGTGCTCCACCAAAGTCAGCCTTGCTGTGGCATTCACTCTGGATCCCAGTCTGCTGCTGGAGTCTCTCCTTCATCCATGGTGTCCTTCACCAAAGACAGCTCACAAGTAATGCTGCGTACCACCCCCAACCAAGTCACCTCTTCCTCAGAGGGATGTCTCCCGGTTCCTCAACTTTCCCTGGCCACTAGTCTGCTCATGGTTTTCTTCGAGTGATGTCCAGAACTGACCACAAGCCCTCCATATGGACCAAGAAGCACACAGAATAACAGGAGCATCCCTCTGCGTTCAGGCCTCTGGGCTGCTGTCCTTGCAGTCTGGGGCCACCCGCATTTTGCCGGCAGCCACATCACACTCTGGTCCTCTAAGAGCCCCAGGTTTGCTCTCTGTGGACTTGCTGTTGTGCTGTTTCAGATGACCAGCAAGCCAGATCTCCCTGAGCCTGCTGACCAGCAGTTTAACGCAGGGGCCTGTGAACAGGGCCAAAACATTTCACTCGTGATTATGTCCCCACGTTCCAGACTGTTAAGGGCATCCAGATTAGTAGCCACGATTACGGGTGAGTGTGGCTGGGCTGGTTGGTGGTGAACCCACATCCACGCCTAGGGACCATCCATCCCTCTCTTCTCTGTGTGACCACACAGCATTTGTAAAACCAGGACTTCTAGAAAGCCACTGAGGGTCAACACCCAAACTCCATGTTGCCGACCTTACCCTTTTAGCCTCTCAGGACTCCCAGACTCGGTTGTGTCCCCCGCTCTCTGCACTCCCTTTCACTCATCTCCCAAAGGATGCGTAGTTGCTCTGCCTGGATCCCGTCCACAGTTTCCCGCCCTGCCCTCACAGGCACTCCGTGGGCTCACTGAATGCACCTAGGTGCTCCCTGAAATTCTCCTCGTCTCTCCTTTCCCTTGTAATTCTGCTCGCCCCGCTATTTCTGTTTGCTGGTCATTCTCCACCAATACGTCTGGTGTGCCTCTGTCATAGGCCCAGAGGTGAGAAAGTTCTTCATTCCTTTCTTCATCTGCTCATACCCGCTCCAAGTGCACTGCGGGAAGCCTCTTGAGTGGACTGTGACTCATTCTGGCATTGGGTGGCTGCGTGTTCCTGCAGGCTCCTCCGTTCTAGACCTCTACTCCCAGTTTCTGTGTCCCGAACTGGGGGGTGGGGAGAGGGGGGTTCATTGTATCAAACCACAACATACAGGCAGAAAGTGCACAAATCTTAATTCACAGGTCAGTCAGTTTTCATGAAGTGAACACGCCCATATAAACAGCACCAAGAACCAGAACATGACCAGCACCCAGAAGCCCCCGTTGGGTCCCTGCCAGTCACTATCCTCCCTCAGGGTAACCGGCATCCTGACTGCTAACCCTGAAGATTGGTCTGGGCCTTTTCTTGGTCTTGGTACAAAATGGAATCACTGCCTGTGTCCTCTTTTGTGTCTGGCTTCTCTCACTCAACGTTGCGTTTGTGAGATTTATCCATATTGTTGTGTGTGATTGTGGGTCTTTTATTCTCATGGCCTTGTGGCCTTAGCCCTTCACAATCTGACTTGATCACGTGGATCCGTGTGGGGCCCCTTGGTTTTGTCTCCACCCGCCCCCAGCTGGGCCGGTTGCAAGTCTCACCTGTATCCCTACCTCTGGTCTCACCCTTCAACCTACCCTGCATTTACCCTGCCAGACAAACCTCTCCGACACTTGGCTCCAATCATGTCCTCACAGCTCAAAACATTCTATGGCTCCCTGTCATCTATGGGGCACTAACTCCCAAGACTGGGGTTATAGGCTACTGACAATCTGGCTTCAGTGGTCCCAGCTTCGCACCCGCTCTATCTCCCCATGCCTTCTAACTACTCAGGACGTATTAGCAGGTCCATAATCATGCCTGCCCTTTTCTGCCTCCGTAACTTTTGCTTGTGCTATTCCTTCAACCTGAATGTTCTTCCCACTCTTCCTCCCATTGGTGAAATCCTTCACGACTGAGATCAGATGTCACGTCCCTGTGATGCCTCCTCTAGTCACCCAGCAGAAGTAATTGCTACCTTCTCCCAGCTCCCATGGTGAGGCTTGGCTCATGCTGAGAGGTATCACTTATCACTTCTTTAAAAGTTAATTACCACATTTCACCCATTCTGAGACCCACATTTGTATTCGTCTCTAGCATCAGGATGCACCTTGCCATTGATGGCATCTTATAATTGGCAGTATTTTTTTCCTTTCTCAGTGATACATAAAATAATGGTGTCTTAGATTCGATGAAATGCAGTTTTTCATTTATCTCAGCACATTCTAGAAAGAGTCTCTGACACCACACTGTGTCGTATAGTTAGTCCACCTCTCTGCGTCCTCTCTTCCACATGTGAGACCATAGGCACACACAAGCACACAATCTGGGTTTGTTGAATGAATAGGTGTGCATTTTTCATTATTACCTGAACGCCTTCTACATGGGTTTCTACAATGGGGAGAGGGGGTGCCGTGGGAAAGTCCCCTCCATGTGGCTCTTCATGAGGTTCGTCACAAAGGGCAGAGGATTACCCTTTCCTTCCAGGGTACGGAGGGCCAGGTGACAGTGGGGGAGTCTCACTTCCCTGGGACTGGCACAGCTTGGAGGGGGAAGGCTACATATGATTAATTTAATGCCAAATCCTTAATCAGCAAAGCAAGCTTCAATTATGACATCCTTCCTATCGGGTAAATATGATTTGCTTTTCAAGGATCTTATTTATGGCCTGGTTTTCAGGAGCGCGCTGAGACAGGAAGCTGTACATCCTATCCTGCCAATCTTGCTCCAAGCTTTAAATAACAACAGTGAGCCTTTTCATTTGCCTTTTCCTAACAAAATCAGTTATTCCCTCTGCCCTATCCCCCAATCCAGCTCTATAGTATATTAAATAGCAAAGGACACAGGTAGGCCGGCATCTGACTTTAGTGACATTTCGGTTACTCTTTGCCCTTTCCTTAACATTCCAGCTGTTCAAATTCCATAGCTGATTTTAGTAAACTCCAGCATGTTCTATCATTTTCCACGTGCTTCTAAAATTTGGAAATACAGTGTACGTCATCAGATGCTTTGGGATGATCGACTCGCTGTGATTAATGGTACCGTATCTTCCTGGTATTACACCATCTTGCACAAGGAAGTATAAGATCTTCTGACTCCAGATGGACCTGTGCCTATGTTTGAAAGACTGGTTTGGGGGATGCCTGGGTGGCTCAGTCAGTTAAGCATCTGACTTGGGCCCAGGTCATTATCTCACAGTTCATGAGTTCAAGCCCCACATCGCGCTCTCTGCCATCAGCAAAGAGCCTGCTTCGGATCCTGTCCCCCTCTCTCTCTGCCCCTCCCTCACTCACACTCTCTCTCTCAAAAATAAATAAACACTTAAAATAAATAAATAAATAAAAGACTGGTTTGGAAGGAACTCTGCGCCTAGGTTCATCAGGGATCCTGAACAGGCTAACAGCTTTATAGGATTTGCTCCAGTTTTAGATCAGCTTGATGAAGAATTCACTATATGTATCAGGTGTTGCTTTCTGTTGGATGGTTTTCTTGGGTATTTCAAGGGCATGGAGATTGCCAGGCCGATGAGCATGATAAAGTTCAATTGCATGGCCATCTGGACTTCCTTTGGGGAGTTTTTTTGATTGATATCTTTATTTTGTCAGGATCTTGGAAAGCACTTAATTCTTTTATACGATGTTCATTATCTTTTAGCAAATTAGATGCCTCTGGGAATTTTCTAAATTCCATCTTCTCCTTTAAAAGATGGATACAGGGGCGCCTGGGTGGCGCAGTCGGTTAAGCGTCCGACTTCAGCCAGGTCACGATCTCGCGCTCCGTGAGTTCGAGCCCCGCGTCGGGCTCTGGGCTGATGGCTCAGAGCCTGGAGCCTGTTTCCGATTCTGTGTCTCCCTCTCTCTCTGCCCCTTGCCCGTTCATGCTCTGTCTCTCTCTGTCCCAAAAATAAATAAACGTTGAAAAAAAAAATTTAAAAGATGGATACAATCAGTTGCAATGTGAAAGAAACAAATAAAAAGTTTCTTGCTGTCAAGAGCAGTGACCTCTGGCTAACAGGACCGAGAGAGAGAAGTAATGGAAGGGGAAAAAGAGATTTATTTTTCACCTTCTATCCTTCTGTACTGTTCGATTTTTTTTTGTTGTTTACTATGAGCATATATTTCTTTTATTAAAGAAAAAAAAAAAGCTTCCTGTACCACTTTGCTCTCTGTTTTATTATTGCTTTTGGTTCTATTTTTCTCCCTCTTATATTTTCATTTTGAGACGTTCAGCTCACTGACTGAATGATGGATGACTCAGTTCATTAAAAAAAAAAATCCCAACAACAAAACAACAAAAAGATTGAAGAAAAACCCCACTACATTTGGTTTCTACTGTTTACTATCACTTTTCCTTTTCAATTTTCTTTTTATTTATGCTTTGATTTTTTCAATATTAGGGTTAATCTTATATTAGAAACAAAGTAAAACCCTTCAGTCTCTAAAACATAAACTTATCTGGGGAGAGTTAGGGACCCTGTGGAGAATCTGGGGATCCCCTTGGCAGAGGAAAGCACAGACACACAGCTTCAGAGATTGTACCCCCAGAATATCTCTTCAATACAATCCAGGGCACAATGTCCTTTCTATATATTATCTCATTAATTGGTCTCAATAATTCTGTAAGGCATTCTTATGCCCATTTTACAGAAGATAAAATGGAGTCTTAGGCTGAATGTCAAGCGAGCACAGAAGTGACAAACTTTGGGGTTATAATTCTGGATTTAAGAGGCCAACCTGTCTTTTCTAGCACACCATAGTTTAAGGTTAAGTGAACTGTTGATTTTCTAGCTTCTCCTATTGTTTCTGTTCCCTTTGTTAAAAGTGGATACCTGATGCCTCATTGCTTGTTTCTTTTAGCAAGATCCCCCGTGGCTTGCATGTTCTTCTATCTTATGCTGGTATGAGTCTCCAAGGGAGTCAGTTTGATTTATTGTCACCTTGGAGGTCCTCAAGAAACACCCCAGAAGGGTCATAGGACCTGGAGTTCAATGTTTCTCACTTCAGCACCCCTGTCGCGTAATGACGCAGACCCTAAGAGCAAGGAAAGGAGGTGGGGTGCAGGGAAGAGAAACAGAGGGAACCCAAGAAGGAGACATGGGGACTGCATTTTGTTCCCAGTGTGCTGGCACTTGGGAAGCTCCTTGGCCTCAGCTTCCTTCTTTTAAAATAGCGTGAATGATGATCATGGGTAATTTTAACAACTCCAAGAGCGTGCTGGGCTTTTACCAGGGGCTGCGCTCTGAGTTTGGCACTTTATAACTAGAAAAGGGCAGTGCTGGGATTCTAAGCTGGGTCTGAAAGCCTCCAGGGCCCTCTCCCCTATTACCCTATGCTCTACTACCCCCACTATGATACCCCAACAGGTCCATTCTCCTGAAATGGCTGGCAGGAAGATCAAAGGGACGGGAAAGGAGAAACGCACACCCTTCCAAATATCTTTTCTCTCTTTTTGTGAAAATTATTTCTTGCCAAAGTCTACATTTTTAATGTTCACGAAAATGATATTATGATCAATAAAAAATTAATGTTCTGTGTCTATTCTTAGGCATTTATTTGTCTCCCAATCCACAATGATAACATGAACTGACTTTGGAAGAAATATCGCTCATTTGGGGGGCATTTCCTCCCTACCTCACGTAACCAGAGTGTTACTAGGGCTTGCTGCTGTTACAGTATCTCTGTATACATGTGTTTGGGGGATTTAGCCAAGACAGAGCAGGACCAGTGTCCCTCATTGTGGAGATCTGATCAGCTTCCGTACTGGCCGCTTCCGGTCCCGACAGGCCAACCATCCCAGCTCTGTACCGCTGTGCACACGATACCCTCCGCCTGGAAACCTTTTCCCTCTAACTCTAAACCACGTCCAGTTTTCAGAGCCCACATTAAATTCCACCTCCTCCATGAAGTCTTCCCTGGTCACTCTTCCAAGGAAACAAGCCCTCTGCCTTCTGAGCGCTCAGCCCCTGCCTCCCACCGAGCACGTCCAACCTCCTCGCACCATCACTGCCAGTGCTCAAGACCCCTCGCCCACCAGGCTGCAGCTGTCTTTCTCTGCCTCCTCTTCAGCCCCACCCAGGGCCTGGCAAGTAGTAGGTCCTCGGAGGGCGTCTGTTGAATTGCACTGATGATGCCCAAGACTCATCTTCACTTTTTCCTGCTCGGCTCTCAGAATCCTCCTGGTCAGATTCATTGTCACTCCTTCTGGCCCTCCGTGTACCCTGTTCTCATTCTGTCCCCTCACTATTCACTTGACACTGCATGTTTTGGTAATCCATTGCTGCCATCACAAACCACTCCGAGATTCTGTGGCTTAAAATAGCAACCGTTTTGCTTATGACTATTATCTGAGCTGGGCTCAGCTGGGCAGTTCTGCTGGTCTTGCTGGTTGGTCACTCATGTGGCTGCATTCAGTTGGCAGGTTGGCCGTAGGCTGGGCTCAGCTGGGGACGCTGGCACATTTGGGATTCTCTGTCTTTCCAGTTAGTCTTGGAGACTCTCCCTTTCCACATGGCCTCTGTGCACAGTCTCTCCATGAGGCTTCCCCAGGAGGGTAGCCAGGTTTTTAGGTGTCAGCTCAGGACTCTGATGGGAAAAAGCAGAAACCCCAGGCTCTCTTATGGTTTAGGCCCAGAACAGGCACAATGTCACCTCCATCACATTTCATGGGGCAGCAAGTCACAGACCTAGCCCAGACTCAAGGGGAGAGGACTTCAAACCATCATAGACACCGAGAGACATAGTTCACTGGGGCCACCTACCCGTCGGTGTTCCCTGCCACCACTGCACACATCAGGGCTGTTTGACCTGTTTGACTCTGTGCCTGTCCTGTTCCCATGAGTGCAGCCCTGGAGGGCAGGGGCTGTGTCCCCAGGGCCTGCACAGTGCCTGGCACAGAGTGAAGAACTTAGTAGAACTTAGTAGAAATTCCCCAAACGGGGTCAGGAAACCTGGGCTCTGGATGAGTTGCCACAGCAAGACCGTGGGTATCCCTGACCCTCTCCAGACCTCAGTTTCTCCATCTATACCAAGAGAGGTTAAACAGATCTTTAAGATCTTTTGAGTGTAGCTGACATTCCGTAATTCCAGTGGGCACGGTACTGGCCATGGGCCACATGTCACATCTGGCTGTTCCCTGGACAGGCCGTTTTTAGGCCTCTGCTCTTCACACGTTATGCTTTCTGCCTGGACAATCATATTCTTTTCCCGCTCATCTTTTCAAGGCATAATGTACATTTTTAACCTCATTTGCAGAAGTTGAGTTAACGACTTCCTCGGCTCAAGACACATTCATCATTCATTCATTCCATGCAACGCCCTTCTGCTTTGTTTTCTGCTTCATCCTTGGTCCCCATTCCTCCCCCACCCCCCAGCATGGTCACCCCTTCAATGTGCTTACACGTCACATGTTACCTACCCTTGTACAATATCCGTCCCTCTGGCAATGGGTGGCCACGCCCCCTCCACCTCTCCGTTTTCACAAACACTGTAGACAGACATTCTTAGACATCTCTCCTTGTGCACCTGCAGGGGAGTGGCTCTAAAGTGCATACCTAGGATTTGGGACTGCGCGGATCCTGGGATGTGAATCAGTCTAACCAGGCAACAGAATCAGCTTGAGTGTTTAAAACACAGGGACTTGCATGCAGGGAATTGGTTACTCGGAGAATGGAAAGGCTGAGAAGCTACATGGGGACAGTGAAGCAGCCAGAAATTAGCAACAGTGGAGAAGTGCTACAGGAGGACCAGAGAGGGGAGGGGTTATCTGGTAAATCTGGAGTCATAACTCACCAGTCCTGGTCCCTTGGAAGGAGGCACAGCTGCTGCTTGGAGATGCCACCTGCGGCTGAGGAGAGGACGAGAGATACCCTGGTTTCTCCCTTCTGTCCTCCAACTTCCTGTCAGTGCCTCTTAGTGGAGCCAGCTGACAAGGAACCTGGAAAACACCGCCTGCAGGGACCAGAGCCACTCAATACAGAGCAACGCAGCAGCAGAGGACAAGGAACACGTATCTCAGGGCACACAGCCTGGGGCCGGCTCCGCAGTGGGCACATACCCAATGTCACGAAAACCTGCCAGACTACTCTCCAGATGGCTGTGCCGCTTCACACAGCCCACATCCTTAACAACACTTAGCATTATCCAACTTTCTCATTTTTTAAATTGATGGGTAAGAAATTGAATCTTGCTGTTGTAGTTTGGGTTTTTCTCAATGACCGGTGAGGTTGAGCATCTCTGCATATATTTATACGAGTTTCTGCTTCTGTGAAATGGCTTCTTCCTGGTTTGCAAATAGTTCCTGTATAAATCTAGCTCTTAGCCCCTTGTGAGCCTCTGGTCAGATTTAGGCATTGAAAACATCTCTTCCCTCTGTATCAGCTTTGTGACCTTCATTTAAAAAGAAATCTTTAACCTGGGTGGCTCAGTCAGTTAAGCATCTAACTCTTGGCTTCGGCTCACGTCATAATCTCACAGTTTGTGAGTTCGAGCCCCCCGTTTGGCTCTGTGCTGACAGTGTGGAGTCTGCTTGGGATTCTCTCTCTGTCCCTCTCTCTTTCTCTGCCCTTCTCCCATTCGTTCTATCTCTCTCTTAAAAATAAATAAATGAACTTAAAAGAAATTTTTAAAGAAATCTTTAGGGGCGCATGCGTGGCTCAGTTGGTTAAGCGTCCAGCTTCAGCTCAGGTCATGATCTTTCAGTTTGTGAGTTTGAGCCCCACGTTGGGCTCTGTGCTGACAGGTCAGAGCTTGGAGCCTGCTTCAGATTCTGTGTCTCCCTCTCTCTCTCTGCACCCCACCCCCCACTCCGGTTGTGCTCTGTCCTCCCACCCCTCTCAAAAATAAACATTAAAAAAAATTTTAATGAAATCTTCAGTTGTTTTTTTTTTTTTTCAACGTTTATTTATTTTTGGGACAGAGAGAGACAGAGCTCGAACGGGGGAGGGGCAGAGAGAGAGGGAGACACAGAATCGGAAACAGGCTCCAGGCTCTGAGCCATCAGCCCAGAGCCTGACGCGGGGCTCGAACTCACGGACTGCGAGATCGTGACCTGGCTGAAGTCGGACGCTTAACCGACTGTGCCACCCAGGCGCCCCATGAAATCTTCAGTTTTGATGTAGTTAAACCTACAATTTGCCAGTGCTATCACCGTGGGTGGGTCATGTCCCCTGGCTGTGCTGTGCTGTAATTCTCTAAGTGTGCAACTGCAGAGAGAGGGCAAGAAGCTTGGTCTTTTCTCCAGGTTCCCTCCATGGCCCAGTTTTGAGCTATTGTCTCAGGGAGATGTTCTCTGCTCTGTTTCCAGGCTGCGTATTCATCGCTAAAGAAACCTTTGTTTTCTGGGTGTCAGCTTCCCAGAGAACATACTAGACATTGTCTTCACAAACACCACCACAGTTGCAAATAGCAAGGCAGAATATGAAGGAAAGACACATGCAACAAAATTGGTTTCCAAACCAGGCCCCTGTCAGGAAACTGTAAGGAAAGGAAGTAAATAGAAAATTGAAAGTTGGCATTTCTCAGTTCTCACTTTTCTCAGGTGCCGTGTCTCGAGGAAATATATGCATCTCAAGTTCATTTCCATTCCCCTCATTTCATCAAAGTATTCAGAAAGCTGTATATGGTTGCGAGGAGACAGAAGGAGCTTTGGATACATGTCGGACAGACCCCACTCCAGCATGTGGCCACTTTGAGGTTTCCCGTAAGTCACCCCACTGCTTTGAGCTCAGTTTCCCCCAACGTGGAAAATGACGTTTACCATGGATACCTGTCCAAAGAAGCTTTAGAGAGTGGAAATGAAGTGTTTGCATTTTTTATAGATCTTTCTTTAGTAATAGAGATTTTTTTTTAAGTTTATTTATTTATTTTGAGAGAGAGAGTGCACAGGAGGGACAAAGAGACAGGAGAGAAAGAGAGAGAGAGGGAGAGAAAGAGAGAGAGAGGGAGAGAGAGAGAGAGAGAGAGAGAGAGAATCCCAAGCGGGCTCTGCGCTGCCAGTACAGAGCTCGATGTGGGACTCGAACTCACGAATGAATCAGGAGATCATGACCTGAGCTGAAATCAAGAGTCAGATGCTTAACCGACTGAGCCATCCAGGTGCCCCTGCAATTATAGATTTTTAAAGCACCTACTGTGTGCTAGGCACTAAGGTTTCTTTTTTTCATTTAATTTTCCCAGCCATCACAGGAAGAGAAATTTAGTACCCCCATCTTACAGATGGCAAGGCTGAGAGTCAGGGGTGCAGAGAGGTTAAGTCAGTTCCCAGGCTTAAACAACTAGGATCGCTATGCCCTTGCCCTTAGCTGGACTGGAAACTGTCGGAGGAGGTCACCGAGGGGACGTGACCGCTGGTTGACCTGGGAGCTGGACCCCAACACGAGAGGCTCCCCGTCCCTCCGCTGTCCTTGCACTGCGGGTTCCTCTTGCCTTCCCTGCTCCCAGGGGCTGCCCCCAGGACATGGCCTTGGGATAGCAAGGTGGTGTTAAGACCATCTGGATGTATACATGACTTAACCCAGTTAAGGCCTCTGAATAAACTTTTAAGAGGTGGTGGGTGGGTGTGGAGATCTACTCGTCTTGCGGCGTCCAAGACAAGCCTCTTATGTAAGTTCTCTTGCTTATCAAACCTGCCACCTACCCATCTGGAGGGGTCTGCCTCTTCCTCTTCCTTCCTTCCTCTCCCTGCCCTCCACATACAGGGCCCATTTCAGATCACACCTGGGAAGCTGCCAAAGAGCCTGCAAAACAACAGAAACATGGAGCTGTCTGGGATGGGGGCTTTGGCTCTTCCATCAGACATTTCTCAAGTTCTTTCAGGCCAAAAAGTTAACTCCTGGGAAATATGAAAGAGCCACAGTCCCCCTCTTCCTGCCCTGGGAACCCAAATGCAGATGGTGCAGCCCAGAGCTTCCCTCCCCTCCCCCGGCTCAGGCACTCTTGTAGCCCTGGCAGCCCCAGGGATCCCCTGCTGAGACTTGGGGGCTCCCTTGAGATGACAGTGAGGTGGTTCCTATGGCTCCGAGCAAGCGGGAAAAGGGTGGGAAGACTTCGCCTACCCCAAGGGACAGAAGGTGAATGACAGCCCCTAGGAGTGCAGCTTCTCATTAATACAGCGGGATCCAGAAAAACCAAGGCCATCCCCGGGAGTGAGGTTTTTCCCTCAGGCCTGTGGGGCCAGAAGATGTCCCAGGTCCCCAGCCCCTGCTCCACTGCCGGGAGATGACGCTACCTGTGACCTGGTGGGCCGACACAGGACAGAGGGGCTTGAGGGAAGAACCTGGGGGTCTGAAGGTGAGGCAGGGTGACTTGGGGTAAACACAGCTATAGGCATGCTCTGTGTCATTGCTACCTCTGGGTGTCACCTGCCAGCTTAGGCTAAGGGTCCTGGGGCTATGACTGGGGACAGTGGTCTCAGATGTCCCTTGCTCCTTGAGGCTGGATAGCGACTATTTCCAGCCAAGCCCCATTCATGGGGAATTCCCAGGACCCAGCCAGCAAGGAGCTGAAGGGCCAATGCTGATGCTTCTCAACTTGGGTCCATGCCAGCTGTTGAACAAAGTATCAGGCTGGCTCGAGGAGCAGTGGGTCTTCTTTCCTTTCTTAAAAAGTGATTAGCAAGTCACAGAATGTCAGAGCCGGAAGGGACCTGAGAGGTGGTCACGTGGGATCTGCCTCACGGTGCACCTGGGAAAACAGGCTCAGAGAAAGCCAGTCTACACAGCAGCAGCCACCCTGGGTACATTTCCAGCAGAGAATGATTCTCAGCTCAAATGATTCCTGGCACAAGTCCCCCCTCCCCGCCATGAAAAAAAACCTTCGTCCCCAGACCTCTGCTGAATTTGGAGCCGCCAACGAAAGCTGGGTAGTCCTCTAGATTTTGAAAACTCAAAGGCATCACCCTCTTGTTTTTAAAATTTCACCCTGATTCACTTGGGCTCATGTGGTCTACAAAAATCTTGTTGTTCCCAACAAAGAAACAATGGCTTCCTGAGTCGAATCCCTGGGAGGTGCAGGACTCAAGAAACGCTCTGCTTCTCATCTTGCAGAGCCCATGGGGAACCAGAGAAATCCCCAGTCTCATGTTTCCCAGGGAGCAACATGACAATGCTGGAGCAAATACCAAAGGAAGCAGCGATTGGCGAAGAGGAAAAAACGCTGACTTTATCATTGAGACACTTAGATGCAAGTTTCAGTTTTGTCACTGACTTGCTGTGTGACCTTGGGCAGGCACCATCCCATTCTGGGCCTGTTTTATCTCTCATAATTTGGAGGGGAGGTGAGATCCTCTCTAAGCACCCTTCCAGGGTCAGCTCTGCCTGGGGTTCCAGCCCCCCCCCCCCAAATGCTGTCATCTCCAGCCTTCCCTCCGTGCTTGCAAAGCCTAGGAGGGGTGGGAAAGCATCTCCCAGCATCTTTTCTTTCCGTTTAAGTTCAGATTTACTAAGTGACTTTTCCACATTTTTTCTTTTTTTTGGAAGTGACAGCTAATGGATAAGGAGTTCCTTAGGTGCTTTGTCTGGATCTGACCAGGGAAATCAGCAGAAAGACAGTATCTAGATTGCTCCAGGCTGACATTACTGCTACAGGATGATGTTAATTCTGCTGTTTACAGAAATAAGTCCAGTGTGAGTCGAGGCTTTTTGGTGTTTAAAACCAGATGGTATTTCCTGCCTTGATCAGCCTCGGAGCTTTGGTTCCCATGACAACCCCTAAGTTCCACCTACTGCAACTTCCCCGTTCTCCAAGCTGCTTCCTCTTCCACCATTGTGCCAGGGTCCCTGGAGAATAAAGCCAGTAAGCGGCATGTGCATGGCACTTTACAGTTTACAACACACTCCAGTACTTATGGTCTCGTTTACTCCTTGCCAGGGCCTTGCCAGACAGCATTTGCTTTTCTCTCCATTTTACAGACAGGAAAACCAAGGCCTCAGAGATGAGCTCATCTGTCTTCTCAGCCCACAGACGTGTCAGCAGGACTCAAACCCAGGCTTTATGGCTTTGAAACTCATGTGGGGTCTGCTTCGCCAGGATGGATATGAATGCCCTGGCCTGCAGACTTTCTACTTGCTTAGGGTTTCTAAGGGGTGAATCCTATACCTATATTGGGTCGAGATCAAGTTGTGGCATCTCTAGGCAAGTTAACTTCTCTGTGCCTCATTTTCCTCATCTGTGAAATGGAGTAGTAATAATGATACTTCCGGATGGCTGAGGGGATTCAATTCGTATGTGTGTAAAAGCACAATCAGGGGTGCCTGGGTGGCTCAGTCGGTTGAGCGACCGACTTCAGCTCAGGTCATGATCTCACGGTTTGTGAGTTCGAGCCCCACGTCGGGCTCTGGGCTGACAGCTCAGAGCCTGGAGCCTGCTTTGGATTCTGTGTCTTCCTCTCTCTCTCTGCCCCTCCCCCACTCATGCTGTCTCAGAAATAAACATTAAAAAAAATTTTTTTAAAAAAGCACAATCAGCGCTTACTGGATTCAGTAGGTGTGAGAAGCCTGGGTTCTACTCTAAACATCATGTGACCTTGGGCGGATCATTTTGCTTGTTGGAGCCAGTTTCCCTCTCTGTGTAAAAGATGACAGCGTCTCAGCGTTCATGCAAATGTTGTGCATGAAATTAATGCATGGAAGGGTACTTGGAGAGCGCCCTCTCTCACACTACAGCATGTGCACACATCCCCTGGGGGGCCTTGTGAAGATCAGGTTTGGGCTCAGTAATGTGGGGCACACCTGAATTTCTCCCCAGCATCCAAAGGATGTCAAGACTACTGGTCCAAGGACCAGACTTTGAGTAGCAAGGCTGTAGCTTCCAAGAAAACACCATCCAAGTGTTACTACCAGTCAACCATACAGACAGCCATGGCCATAGGCCTCCAGTTATAAGCCCAAAAACTCAGGAAGTTTGGAGAGTTCACTGGGAGCATCAGCAGGAGCCCATCTGGAGAGTTTTCCAAGGTGGGAGATTTCCATCAGGAGAAGGACTCCCCAGGCCCCCCAGGCCCAGGGCTCTGTTTCCTGGAACCCCCCAGAACTCTGGTGAAAGCTATACCCAATCTTAGGGCTCTCAATAGAGGATGTAAAACTGTAAATGTGTCACATCTTGCACATCAGAATATACTCATTGATAATGACTTATACAGTTCTTTAAAAAGAAAAATAAACTTAAATTAAAAAAGGCAAGGTGACCTAGGAATGCTAAGTGATCCACGTACAAGCACACGGTAGAACGTGGATCAAAGTAGAGCTATTACACAGGTCTAAAGAACACAGTCTGCACCTTGTGCTTTTGTGTCCAATTCTTTGTTCTGTATTCTTCCTTATGTAATTGCAGATTGTAAACTCAATTATGTGCACTAAGTTCACTGCTTGGCAATAAACAAATGTTTTCCATTCATGCCTGCAATTCATTTGGTTGGGTGCATCCCAGGCCCTTGTTGCAGGTCCCTAAGCCAGCTCCTCTGACAGCTAACCGCTCAGGGTACGTTCATGTGGCAGGAGCACAATATTCCTCGCACTGTGGCTGCTGCAAGGCTCCCCGCACCCTGACCCCCAAGGAACAGAAAGAAAGATGAACACTTACAAGTGGCTGCTGCCCCTTGAGCACTCACCCTGTGCCAGGCACTGTGCTGAGCACTTGACTTGGAACAGCTCAGTTAATCCCCACAGTGCCCTGAGAGCCAGGATTTTTATCACCCCTCGTGGATCATAAACTCCGCGAAGGCGGCGACTTTGCTTTGCCCCCCTCAGTGCATCCCCGGTGCCTGTGACGGTGTTCCATCAGTGTCTGCCGAGGGAGCGTGTCAGCTCTCATTCCAACAAGGAGGAAACAGAGCTTTGCTTACCTAAGACTCCCACCACCCACACTACCCCCCCCCATCCCCCACCCCAGCCTGTGGCCCCAGCTGCCCTGGGGGGGCATTCTCTCAGAGGATTCTGACTCAGGTTCTTAATCACTGTCCCTTGTGAGAAGTTACTAAAATCAGTTTGCCCTGAGGTCACCTCACAGATGAAGCCAACCTACAGAAGCGGCAGTGACAGTGCTGACATCCTTCTTCCTGGCTGAGGTTCCCCTCCACACACACAAGGCCTCCCCCATTTATAAAGTCCCTGCTCGCAGTCTGGGAGCAGACTCTGAGTGGAGATTAGCCTGTGGCGTGTGGTCTAGGGGCTGTCTTGGGAGGACCCCTGGTGGCAGGGCAGGTGCATGTGGGACTGGGCAGAGGGAGGTTGGGGCGCAGGGCTGGTGGGTGCTGCAGTGGGATAAGTGGGAGCTCACGGGCCTGGGTCCCTCGGAGGCATCAACTCAACAGCTGAAGAAGTCCTTCATCCAGTGGGTGTCCATGCCAACGCAGAAGGGCTTCTGAAAACACCCATCTGCGACTCAAAGGGAGTGTTTCTGATTGTGAGGAAAGTAGAGACAATTATTCATTCAACTGAAAGAGCTGTGAGCACGTGAAGCAGAGAAGCTCTGAGACCCCTGGGGAAAAGAAATGAGAGCCGGAGAAGGGGCAAGCAGCCTGGAGCAGAGGAGGTGACCTGGCGCCTGGAGAAGGTCCCCGCCTTCCAAAGGGGCTTGCTTCCCTAGAGCCAGGACGAGGGACAGGGGTGGCCCGCCTCATTCATGACGGTTTTCTGTAATAGGCTCTGGAGACGCTGGCCAGAGACCCTCCACCCATCTCTACCCTCTGATGAAGGGGACAGAAAACTGGGTGTACCTGTGCACATGGGAGTGTCGAAGACCCCAGGGTGGTCACGGATCTTTCACACTGATGACAAGGTGGAGATGAGCAGACTGACAGGAGAGGGATGGAAAACCAGCCAGGTGATGAGCTCCCCTCTCCTTTCTCCTTTTTTTTTTTATTAAAAATTATGATAAAATAGATACAAAACTTAACCACTCTAACCATTTTAAAGTACCCAATTTAGTGGCATTAAATACATCCACAATTTACAACCATATCATTTAGTTCCAGAACTTTTTCATCACCCCCAAAGGAAAGCCCCTACCCATTAAGCAGTTACTCCACATTTCCTCGGCCCCCCCAGACTCCGGTCATCTCTACGTATTTGCCTATTCTGGACACTTCATACTAATGGAATCACAGAATATGTAGTCCCTTGTGTCTGGCTTCTCTCACCTGGTGTAGTGTTTTCAAGGTTTGTCTGTGTCACAGCAGGTGTATTTCATTCCTCTTTATGGCTGAATAATACTCCATTGTGTGGCTACACCACATTTTGTTTACCCCTTCATCTCTTGATGGCCATCTGGATTGTTTCCACCTTCTGATTATTGTGAATAGTGCTCTGAATATTTGCATACACGTTTTTGGGTTTTTTTTTTTTTGAATACTTATTTTCAATTCTTTGGAGTCTCTAGTTGGGAGTGGAATTGCTGTGTTACATGGTAATTCTACATTTAATTTATTGATGAGACACTCCCCTTTTTATAGATTTTCATAGAATCAGAGGGCAGGAAGGGACTGCAAAAATGACCTAAAATGATTTTTCTCAGACTTTTGGATTCACACATCAGTAAAACTAAAACTACCATCACCACCACCCCTTCTCCCCAAGAAGGAGGGACTTGCATCGAGGTCAACCCTATAAAATGCATATATTTAGTGTCAGGTAACTCACTGCCTTATATACCCGCTTGTCTCCCCTCATCTCCACCTTTGGGTCATTGGGGAACCAATTGCTGGGTCCCATCCTCATCCAAAGTCTGAATTCCCCTCTCCAGCTGCCCTGGTATGGGCTTGCCCAGCCTTGGGGGAAGGAAGCTCCCTCTCCCAGGTAGCTCGGGTTCCTGGATGCTCTTCCTCAGGGAAAGCTGGCTCTACTCCCATGGTCTCCCTAGTATCTTTGCTCCATCCTCTGGGGCCTCACAGACCTTGGCCTCACTCCACCCACTTCAGGACTGGAACCCACACCACCTTCTGCTTCCTATATGTTCTACAGGGCTGAGCATGCCAACATGAGATACTGATACCAAAGCAGGTGGAGATGAGGCAGTCCCTGGACTTGTAAGAATTCTTAGAAGAAACAAAGAGAATCTCCAAGGTATTTATAGTATTTCATGAGCACACCCACAAAAAAAATTGTGAACAAGCCATATAGACTAACAGGTTTTATTTTTGCTGTTGGCTGGGCTTATACCAATGTAACGCTTCTCTCTGTGTGGAAAGGCAGCAAGGCAGCAACACAGCCCGGAGAAAATGCGGCTCCTCTAACAGTGAGGGGTGAGATCTGCATTGAAGCCCACTGTCCCTTGTTAACTGGGGGGCCTTGGTGAGGTTAATATCTGTGTGCAGATATTAACAAAGGAGAAAAAGAGAGAGAGAGACAAATCAAGAAACACTTAGCCATGGGGAACAAACTGATGGTTACCAGAGGGGAGGTGGGTGGAGGGATGGCTGAAACAGGTGATAGGGATTAAGGAGTACACTTATCATGATGAAAAAAATGTCTGTGTGCCACAGTCACTGAATCAGTAGAAAGGGAATGTGAAGGCTGCCTGATGGGCAGTTGTGAAGGAGGCGAGGCAGCTTACAGACGCACCCCGCACACCACAGGCGCCTGCTCTAATAGTTATCACTGGAAGAAATCTGAGCAGCATTTATGCCTTCGATGAGCAAAATCAAAGCGAGAAGACAAATTCACTGTTATTTAATACACATTTGGCAAACAAAAATCCTTTGAAGGATCAAGTTCTTGCATGGAAATAACAATAATAATAAAAAGGTAACATTTGATGGTGAGGAACCTGTAAACCCACTCTACAGGGCTGAAACAAGATGGCAACCTGGCCTCTTATCAAAGGATACGGTGGCCTTGCTGAAGACTTAGGGTAAGGCTAAGTTCTACCCCAGCCACCTGGAGGTGGGGGACAAGGTCCCTCTGAAGAGGATGGCCATGCCCTGTGTCTATCAGCCCTGGGGAGGTGGCTCTGACAGGAGCTGGGGACCTGGTGGGACTGGCTCACCCCACTGGGCAGGGCCCTGAGAAGGGAGCCCCAGGTGGTCTCCACCCTAGAAGGAGCTGGAGACAGATGAACTGGGCCTTCTGCTCTATCCCACTAGCAGCGATTCTGTGTTTATTTCTCTTGTTATCCCAAGTGTTGGTGACTCACCATCTATAGAGATTGGCTCTTAGACAAGGGACTAAAATTTAAAGCAGGATCTAATCCCCTCCTAGGCTGCATGTTACAGAGGAGCAGAGGCCCCCTGAGGCCAGCAGGGAGCCTGGCAAGCCCTGCAGAAATATCTAAGGAGAACCCACCCAGAGGAAGTGACTCACCTACCCCATCTTCCAGGGAGGAAATTCATCTTCCGGCCTATCCTACAGAATCTAGTATTGACTTTATCGGGGAAAACATCGGGTGTCCTTACATGCTGAACAGGATCTATTAGTTAAAAAGACATGATTATCTTGCTTGAAATGGACAAAGACATACGAGCACAGATGATGCTTCACAACACCTTCGGTATGGGCTGCAAAATTTTCCCAAGAAGGGTCCTGAGGCTTCAGGAGATAGTCTTGGTAGCAAAGGTCAGTGTGGATGTCAAGAGCTGCCCAGTCCAATCCTGACCTGCACAGTAGTGTCCTTGGGCAGTTCCAAGGTAAGAGAAAACTGGAAGGGTTTCCTGCCTCCTCTTTGTCTGCTGGATCAGCTCCTGCAGTTTGGCTGGAAAGCCTTCCTGCTTCTTTCCGTCCACCTTGCTGGGAATCCCAGAGACACAAACACCCAGAGTCAGGCACAGCTGGAGCGTGGGGATCCACTGTCAGCCTTGGGCTGATGCCAGCAGAGCCATCTAAGCTGGGCTACCTCTGGCTGTAGGCCCCTTCCTCTGGTCTTACTCCCCCCTCCCCACCCATGGCTACATCCAGGCAAGTGGGCCGTGGAGGTGGGGAAAGGAGAGAGGCAGAGAGACTGAGATTGATTTCAACGTGCAGCCATAGTGATCTCTCAGATCTGCACAGCCCCACACGCTGTGAAAAGGGCTTTCTCACTTTCATCTGATCCTCAGCACCTTGGGGAGCACCAGCCCCTTCTAACCAAAAGGGAAACGGAGATTCAAGCAGAAGAAACAAGCCCGCTGTTACTCAGTAAGTGGCTGAGCCAAACCCCGGTGCTAGGGCTGACTCTAGATTCAGTGCTCTTTCCAGGGTGACAGATTGCTTCTATGCACTTCAAAGAAAAGAACCCAAATAAAAAAAATAAAAAAATAAAAAACAGAAACACACCCACCCCAACCCAAATCAGAAAAACAGGTATCTAACTTCTCTCCAGCAATATGTAACCCATGAATGCTATATGCAGACTAAGTTCACACAGGCTGTCCCTCAATCTGGGTGCCCTTTCACTTCCTCATCTGCCAGCTCCCTCCTGGGGGGCCAAACCTGAGCCATCACAAATGACATTCTCTGTGCCATGGACCTAGCACACGCTTTCGTGACAAGACTCTTCACACGGCACCACAATGTTTTATTTACATGCCTGTCTCCTCTAAAACACTGTGGGTTCCTTGAAGGCAGGAATGAGTGTATTTTCATCTCTGGATCCAAAACACAAGCAGGGGCAGGCACAGACTGGATGCTCAGTGAATGTCTGGGGAACAAAAGCATGAAAAAGTAAACATTCTCCTAGCAAAACTAGCTGGCTTCCATGGAATGGTCTGGCCCTAAAGGAAGAAAGGTGGGAGGATGCCCTGGCCAGTGGGGGTGTGGCACGGACACCCAGCACCCACCGGGCGGGACACTGCACTCAGGCTGGGAACAAACGCCCTCTACCCTGCAGGAGACCCCCAAGGTGGAGAGGCCTCTGAGCAAGGTCCCAATCACCTAAAAGTCAAGGGACTCCCCCACCCTGATGTCCTACTGCCAAGCAGGGCACCTCTGCCAAGAGCTGCTGGGGATGGATGAGCAGCGAAGACCCCTGACCCGGCTGAAGTCCGAGTGCCCCCTTGCCCGCCCCCAGCGGCTGCGAGTCCTCATGGCTGCTGCTGTCTTAGTTAAAGCAGGGTTTCCCGGACAGCGTCCAAGGAGTCTGGTCTTGCAACAGCACCACGAAGAAGCACTGTGATCAAACGTATGGAAAATACTACGCACTACCTGACCCCCTTATAAGAGGCCCAACACACACGCTGGCGTGCCGAGGGTTCTGAGATGTCCTACAGCAAGACAGTCCAGTAACTGGGCTTTAACCCAGTGCCTGCCAAACCTATTTGATCAGAGCCTCATCCTACTTTCACATATACACTCCCTTTATTTTTCTTTATGAAAAATCCATTAACATCCTATGGAACTAGTGTTCCAAGGAATACATTTTGGGGAATGCTGGTGAAGGTCATCGAGCAAGGGAAACATTTACTGTGGAGGAGAACAGACCCTTGCAGGCAGCCTAGGGATACATGTGAGATGGGAGGGGCTACCAGGAAGGGGGAGATCATGGCCCAGAATGGGTGCCAGGAATCTCTCACCACTCCATAAACTGCCTTAGAACCACTTGAGTCTAGTGAGAAAGACAAGAGAGACACTTGTCCTGAGCCTCAGGTTTCCCGTCTGCAAATTGGGAATCAGCCCAGCTCTGCCTGGTGTCATCAGATGAAATCACGGGATTCTGAACTGTGGAAAGCAGACTCCTCCAGCACAGCCCTTGTATATGATGGATGTTCAAACCTACCTGACAGGAAGCTGCACGAATATAGGGGTTATGAAAAAAACAGGACAGCAGCAAGAGGCAGACACAAAACCTCAAGTCATGTCACTCCAGGGCCACGTATTTCAAGGGCAAACAACCCTAGGCCCACTGATAACCCCTGGAGAGATCAGACCATTACAACAGTGAGAATCCCCAGTGCTCCCAGCTCCAGGAGTCTACGCGGGTCGGTGGAAAGGCAGGGGCCCAGAGCACACCAGATCCCGTTCTAAGCGAGCTCTGCCCCCTCTGGGCTATGTTGCTGGCATGCAGCTGCACTCTGTCTTTCAGATGTACAGGATTCTCCCGCATGGCGGTGAGGATGGATGACACTGCAGTCAAGCTGCCACACACAGTAGGCGCTCTATGACTATTTCTCATTAAAGGCCGGGATTTGAGGGACATTTATAAAGATGCCTGTCAGCAAAGGCAAAGTGAAACCTTTTCGCTTCAGTCATGTTGCATGCTGGCAGCTGCCAGTGGGAGGGATGAGAAGATGGAGGTACTGGCCCAACAGGCAGAGGGCGAGCATGAGGTGGCTCTGGGCTATGTGGTCACGACTGCCTCTCAAGAAGCCAGTGGAGGGGACCAGGCCTTTGGCTGGGAGAGGCATAGGAAAGACCGCACCTCCCGAGGACATGTGGCCTGGCAGAGCTTGTGGCAAAGACCAAAACTGTGAAGGCTGCTGTCTACTTCGTGCAGACCAATTGCTTTCTGCACGCTGGCTCTAAGCTCTGGGCAAGAGGCTACGTGACTTGTCCCGGCCACACAGCTGGCCAGCCGAAGGACTGGATGTGAACTCTGAGCCCGAGTCCAGAGTACAAACTCTTCCTACTCTGTCATACTGCCTCTCGAGGTTGGGATCGTCTGTTCACATCCTCTCCTGCCTCTCGAGGTCCCCAAGGGTGGGACTGGCTCTAGCTCATCTCTGTATCCCCCGCACTCAGCACATAAAAGAAATGTAGCAAGCACTGGCCAAACAAATTACTCACTTGAAAACACTTCCAAAAGCTACTGGATTTTAGAAGTCGGGGCGCTGCTGAGGTACTATGACATGGCAGAAAATTACAAGAACTAATTCCCTTCTGAGGAACATAGCATTAACAGGGTATACGAGAAATTCCAAATGCTTAGCTCTTTGTCTAGAAAATGTGAGCACCAAAGTCCTTCCACAGTGTAATCTATTAGGGTCTTCTGCTCCCACCTGAAGTGTAGAAAGCCCTACAGCGATACGGGTGAACAGCATAGACTTAGAGCATCATCCTGCCCAAGCCCTGATCTTGCAGGTGACGGCACTTAGGCCAGAAAGAAGGGATCCAGGATCATGCAGCGGGCTTACTCTTGTTTCCTATAGAAAAGGTTGCCCTTGCAACAAAGAAAAATGCATTCAACATACACATCCTGAACACCTGTTGTATGTTGTATGCAGTGGGTACAGCCAAGCATTAGAACAGAGTTTCAGACATGCAGTAAAGGACCCCAGGGGCTGAAAAGTTAGTTCTATGTAAAAGAGTCAAGAAAGGCTTCACTGTACAGGTAACTTGGATCACAAAGAACAAGTTAGAAGTTTTCCAGAAAGATGTGTCAGGGAAGGCTAAGCATTCTCCAAAACACATGCTGCCCCAGCTAAGTTTAGAGTTGCTGCTGGGGAGCCACCACCTAAACAAAGACTACATTCCCCAGCATCCTTCACACTCAGATGCCGCCACATGACTACTGGAGGTCAATGGAATGTGAGGAAGAACAGATGGAACAAGGGCAATTAAGAGGAAAGTAGTTAAGAATGGCTGTGCCTTCTCCACTGTCCCTTTCCCCTTTTTGCCAACCAGAAGAAAAGATGCTGAGGTCCCTGGGGATGGCAGGGCTGCAAGATGAAATGAGATGGGTCCCCAAATCACAGTGTGAAGTCACCTGCCAAGCAGAAGCAGCCGTTCCAGACTTCATGTGAGGTTAAGTCTACCATGTTTGAGTTTGTTACACCAACAAGCATCACCAACTACTACAGCAGGGAAGGGAAGACAGGTGTTCTGGGCAGAGTGAACAAAGCCATGGTGGTGTGACAAAGTGTGGCCTGTTTCAGGGAATGGGGAAAGAGCTGACAGTGGTCAGAGCACTGGCTGTGTGAGGGCAGTACTGGAATTCAGAAAGCTCACGATGGTGACCACAGGAGGGAGGATCACGTACAGGGATTGTTTCCAGGGGCCCTGGTGTTGCTGGCGCTGCTCTCAAAGGAAGAGTGGAAGTTGTGAATGGTTTCCTGTAAAATCTGTCTCTCGCGTCCCTGTAGAGGAAATTGAAAACAGACACAAAGTCTTGTTAAATCTTTGAACTATTAGTTCAATTGACATGGTGTTGTTAATCCTCAACTAATACTTTAGAAACCTATGGGTGTCATGGGGAAATAAATTATCTGATTAAGAGAGTACTGAGTTTAATAAAAACACACTGAGTCAGAATGTCCCCTAGCACCCATAATCACAACACACAAGGCTAGAGAGGGCCCTCGAGACACAGGGGTCCAATCCCCCAGGCAAGGACAGGATGCAGAGCCCAGGAGCTGGACTGACTTGTCCTGGGTCACATGGCCTGCAAGGGAAGTTTGCTCCCCTGATTCACTGGGTGTCTTTCTAGTCCTCAGAGTTCCAGGGGATTGAGTGGGAGCTGAACTTCTTTCTGCTACAGAGAGTTTCAACTGCCTCACTACCCCCTGCCCAAAAGCTGTCAGATTCCTCTCCACAGTGATTCACTTCTCACTCTATCCATGCAACATTCCCCCACATCCCCACCCCTTAACACACATGTTTTGAGATGTGAAAAAGGGAGGATGTAGAGGTTTTTTTGAGCCCAGAGAACATCTTCACCAAATACCTGGCTGAGAGGCAGTGATACATAGAAGTTAAGAGCAGGGACTGGAACCAAACAGCCTGGGTTCAAATCCCATTCCTCCCATTTACTAGCTGGGTGACCCTGAAAAAGACACTTAATCTCTCTGGACCTTAGTTTCCTTATCTGTAAAATGGGATAGCAATGGTACTCAAATGGCTGCTGGTGACAGCGGACTCTGTGGGCAGCAGGAGACTGACAGGTCTTATTGTCAGAGAATAGCAGTGTGGACTCAGTGCGTGTGTGCATGCACGCATACACACGCATGTGTACACACACACACACACACACACACATACACAAAGTAGGCTTTGTACCAGGTGGAGCTTGAACTCATGACTCTGGGATCAAGACCTGAGCTGAGATCAAGCGTTGTGTGTTTAACCAACTGAGCCACCCAGGTGCCCCCTAAACACACATTTTTTAAAAAGTTTTTTTAATGTTTATTTATTTTTGAGAGAGAGAGAGAGAGCGCAAGTTGGGAGGGGCAGAGAGAGAAAGAGACACAGAATCTGAAGCAGGCTCCAGGCTCTGAGCTGATGCAGGGCTTGAACCCACAAACCGTGAGATCATGACCTGAGCTGAAATCGGACACTTAACCGGCTGAGCCACTCAGGTGCCCCCCCAAACACACATTTTTAAAACCAACAAATGTGGTGATCAAAATGTAAAGGAAATTAAAAATGAATAATCTCTGGTAGACTGTTTTCTGCTAAGAGTACAAAGAAAAAAAAAAGTCTACTGAATGAGCTCAACTTCAAACTTTTTCTTTTCGTGGACTCTCCAGACCCCAGAGCAAGAACCTCTACCACTGTTGAGGCCTTCCTGGACACCTGAGGGGGCAGGAAGACCTCCCAGCATGCCAATCCTTCAAAGTAAGTTAAATCACCTAGAAAAATGCCTCCCCCCAGCCCCAGGAGCCCAACAACACAAACCTGGAGGCAGCAGGGTAGAGAACAGAGCACCAGATGTGGCAGTCTGAGGACAGTTGAGTCCCCATTCTACCGCTCCCTAGTGGCAGCATCCCAGGCAGGGCCCCTTGCTGTCGGGTGTCCTATCTATAAAATGGGGACAGTAGGACATGTTGAGGCTGTGATGAGGCTCAACCCGAGATAATGAACGGGGTGACACTGTGCAAACTGCAGAGGGCTAAAAAATAAACAGGAGGGATGACAGCAATGTCATTATTAAACACTACCTTAGCCTTAATTGCCTGAGAAACGAGGTCAGGGAGAGACAGGGTTCCAGCACTCTGCCTCCTACTTAGGAGGGAGCCATAGATGATGAAAACCATAATTGTTCCCTGTATCCACTGCTGATTGAAGATGATGATAATAATTGCCCCTTAAAAACCCCTGAGCTTCAAAGGACCTGCCTGATAATTCTTAAAAGGGAAAAAGCGAGTGGCCATTAAGAGTAGAAAAAAAGTGTTCAGTCTATCTAGTAGTTAAAGAAATACAAATTAAAACAAGGCACACTTTTTGGCCTCTCAAATTAATAAAAATTTAAAAACAAACTGATAGCACTCAATACTGGCAGGGATTCAATGATGCTGGAACCACACTGCCACAGCTGATGGGGATGTTCACTGGCTCTTTCTGGAAAGTAATTCAGGAAGAAGTGCCATATACCTTGATTTAGACTCTTTGACTCCAAAATTCCACTTTTAGACATCTATTCTGAGGAGATAATTAGAAAGCCTTATACACAAAGTTGCCCACTGCAGCACTCACTATTAATAGAAAGTTTGGATAGCTACATATCCAACAAGTAGGGATTCAAGATAAAGTAATTTTAGTATATCCATACAAATTTATCATATTAAAAAGATTTTTTAATGACATGGGTAACTGCATATATTTAATGTTAAACGAAGAAAGTAGGATGTAAAATTATAGATCCAAATTTATCTCAGCCACGGAGAGAAAAACAATTTGGCACAAAACACTGCAGTGATCGTCCCAAATGTGAAAAGCATTGGCCTCTGGGTGGCTGGATCGTGACTTCTTTAAAAAGTCTTTTCACCTTTTTGGCACTGTGCAAATTTAGCAAAATGAATGTGCACTGCTTTGATGATCACAAAAAAATGGCAATACAGAGAAGCAAGGCTTAGACCAACCAAAGGTGAAATGCAGGTGAGATTTCTGATTGACCTTCTCCAACATATAAACCATTTCAAACTAATAAGCGGTCTCAAGTACATTATCACAACTTGAATACTGGAGGGGGAAGGTTCACTCAGATCTATGACTTGTAAGACTGAGGATCCATACTGCTTTGCTGATATTTTTATGGCCAAGTTAGGTTTTTTGGCTTATATTTGTTTAAAAAAAAAATCTTAAGCTAAAATGTTCAAACTATTTTTGATTGTGCAAGAAATACATTTTACATCACAACCTTGTTATGAGCAAATATATACAACTGGAACAAATTTACCCTCCTACCTGCAAAGAATGTTGATATTTTCTACACTATTCTGTTTTCAAGCTGCTGGTGGGGTCCCTGAGTGGCTCAGTCGGTTAAATGTCCAACTTTGGATCAGGTCATGATCTCATGGTCCGTGAATTCAAGCCCCACATCAGGCTCTGTGCTGAGAGCTCGGAGCCTAGAGCCTGCTTCAGATTCTATGGCTCTTCTCTCTGCCCCTCCCTGACTTGCACCCTATCTCTCTCAAAAATAAACAAACATTAAAAAACAATAATAAAAATAAATAAAAAGCTGCTGGTAAACCGCTAGATTGAGTGCACAACCCTCAAGCTTGGCAAGCTGTGGACCACAGCCATTAAGACATTACAACACTAGCGGGCAAGGAAATCTGGGCCTCCATTCTCTCATGGGTCCTCTCATGGGTTCTCGAATGTGTACAGAGCATCTGAGCCACTAGTGGGTACTCTCCTGGCTGAGGTTGGGTTGCAAAAGAAAAAGTATGAACACTGAAGGGAGAGTTGGTGCCCTACAGCAATCCAGAAAGAGGCAGGAGGCCCTGAAGTCAGAGTGAGGCAGGTCCAGCCCAGAACAGCTGAGGGCCAGGGCATCAGAAAGCCATCCAAAGGGCTCCAGAAAGCTCCTTTTGGCCTGTGGAGAAGCAGTACATAGCTCCAATGGGAACCCCCACGTAGTACAGAAGATAAACCTGTTTTGGTAATATTTAGTATTGCCCCAGTCATGTTTTTGTTCTATGGCACACTGTGATACATGGTGCTCACTTCCACAGGACTTTGTTTGGTGGCTCAGAACTTCGCTCTGCACCCGTTTCCACGCGGAATCACCTGACTTTGAGGGTGGGCGCTGCCCGTGGGAAGAACGTGGCTGGGACAGAGCAGACCCTCAGTCTGGCAGGTTGGAAGCACCCAGGTCTCCTGGTTGGGAGCTGATCAGCTGGTGCCCCCAAATATCACTCTTATGGAAGGAATGTGTGCCCCCCGCCCCCCAATTCATATGGTGAAACCCTACCCCCGGTGTGATGTACGAAGAGGTGGGGCCTTTGGGAGGTGATAGCGTTTAGATGAGGTCATGAGGGTGGGGCTCCCATGATGGCCCCAGTGCCCCTATAAGAAGACAGCGCTGGCTTCCCTGTTCCCTGCCGTGTGAGGACACAATGAGAGGTTGGCAGTCTGCAATATGGAAGAGGACTCTCACAGATATCGACCATGCTGGCAGCCTCATGCTGTGAGAAATAAATTCCTGTTGTTCACAAGCCACCCAGGACATGGTCCTTTGTCATGCAGCCTGAACCAAGACCACCACCACCAGCTGTCCTGCCTTTTGCTTCTCTAGACTGGGCTTTGTTGGGTACAGGATGCAGACTGTCACAGAAATAGAGTATGGAGGCAATGAATTTGAGAGAAAAAGAAAAAAGGTCCCAGTTTGTACGAATATTAAGAAAAATGTTCTCCTGTGGAGTGGACCTGAGCTCTTCCACTCTATGGCAGCAGTTAAGCTTCCTGAGATTTTCAAGCCAGCCCAGTCTGCCTTTTATCTGGGATCCCAGACCACAAAGGCCATGGCTGCCAAGGGCAGAAGGGAGGTTCTGGAAGCATTCGCAGCTACTATCTACCATGCCCTGGGCCGGGCTCCAGCGGCATCCAGCTCCTGGCCTGTCCCCCCACACCTTCCATGGTCCTCACTGGCCCTACATCTAGTACCTTACCTGTCTTTGCTTGACCGGCTTGGCTTGCCCCACCACCCTCCTCTCCTTGGCTCGCACATCTGGCCCCTGGAGGCCACAGCATGAAGGGTCCTGTAACCCCTGAGCCACATCCACATCACTCACCTACCTCCTCCCCAAAGCCCTTGCCCTTACTTGACTGGGTCCCCCTCAGCCACCCTGAGGGCCTTATCTGTCCCCTGCGGCCTCCCCTCACACCAGACTTCTTGCTCTCAGCTTCCACACATTTTTAGGTCTTGAGATGCACCACACACCCTCTCACCACAGGGTCTTTGCACATGTGTGTCCCTCCTCCTGGTCTGCACTCTTTTAGCCCTCTACCCCCATGGTTCCCATCTTTCTTCAGATCCCAGCCCTCCTGCCACTCCCTTGGGAATGTCTTCCAGGACCTTGCCTTTCCAGCCCCCACTTGAAGTCCGGAGCTCTCCTTAATGAGCACTGAGTCAGGGCAGCAGAGTGGTCAGCACACAAACTCTGGGTTCCAGTTCTGGCTCTGCCACTTACCAATTATGTGATTTTAGGCAAGTTCCTTAACTGCTCTGTGCCTCAGTTCCTCCATCTATGAACCGGAACTGGCCTCAGTGGCTTCCGTGAAGTTAAATGTACGACTAGATGTGACAGGCTCAGAGCAGGGCTGGGCACAAAGTGTGCTCAGCGCTTAACACCCACAGAGTGCCTGGGACACGGCGGAGAGGCAAGGGTTATTTTTCAGGACGAATTAATGCTCCAAAGACTCTAGTGCTTGCTCCGGTTGATCGGTGCCCCATGAGCCACCTGGGTGTGCCCTTCCTACCAGCCCAGACTGGCCACCTCCTGCAGCCCCCATGCCAGCCTCACCCCCTCCCCTCCTCATCTACAGTGGAGCAGAAGCGGTGCTGGCTGGGGGCCAGGGCTCACCGTCCGTCTCTGAGCCTCAACTTCCCCGTCTTAAAGGGAGGCGGCCCAGGCCCACGTTACAGGTGAGCAGTGTTTGGGAACAGGCTAACAGCAGAAGAAGAACAGACAATAAAGACTAAAGGAAAACGCAAGCGCTGGAAGCACTGCCAACCGAACCACTCCGAAGGACCCCCTCACAGCCTATGAACAGGCAAAATAATGACGACGACGGCAGCAATAAAAACCACCACCCCCGACCCCGGCAGGGAGGCCCGGAGCCACCCCCATGCAGCTCTGTGCTGGGGGAACACAGGAAGAAGACCAGGGTGCAGGTCCTGCCTCGCCTTCCCGCCCACCTCTCCACCTGGGCACACCTCCCTCCCTGGGGCTCTGCTCCCTCGCCAGCCAGCCAGCAGCCAGCCGGACAAGGGAAGTGTGAGGACACGGCCTCCTCAGATTTACTGGGGAAATGTACGTGAAGTGTCTTGTGAATGATAAAGTGCTACATGAATATTTATTTGCTGTTGGTGCTCTAAGTCTGTTCAATATTTGCGTGCACACCCGGCAAAACACACAAAGAACCACGAGACCGGTCACGCTCTCTGACATAACCTCGTATTGTGGAACACAGCCTGAGGAACAAAACAACAGAAGAAAAAGGAGCAAGGCAGAGACATCCGTTATGGTGCTATCTGTAATGGCAAAACCCCAGACACGGCATCACTGTCTTACAAGAAGGGGACCGTCAGGCAAAGCGTGAAAAAGCAACAGGTAAGCAAGTTGTACACACTGTTGGAGTGAGACAGAAAAGTCCATCCTGTGTTAGAGAAAAAAGCACAGCTCAAGGGAGCTTGAATAGCCCAACAGCAACTGTCCTACTAAGGTGTGCAAAGTGAGTGGTGGTTTTTAATTGTTTTCACATGTATGCCTTTGGGGGGGTGGGGAGCATGGTTCATCTTTAGTTTAAAGCTGATGAGACAGAAATTTAACATTAGATAAAAATGCAGGATGCCAGCAACAACAGCGATTGACGGGTCTGTGTGTACCAGGGGCGCTGGCAACAGCCCCAGTATCCCTGGCCATCTCAACAGATGAGGAAAGCAAGACTCAGAGAGGTGACGACTTCTACGTAATACGGCAAGTAAGGGGAGGAGTGGGTTCACACCCAGGTGGGCCTGACTCCAGGGCCCCTATTAAACAAGGGCTCTGTTTCCATTGTACACTGGAGGGCAATACCCAGCCATGTGGGTTGAAATTACCACAGGGAATATTTTAGCTGAATCTATAGGAAGGGACAGGAAGAGGAACAGGGAGGCAGTGAGTGCTCGGTCATGAGAAGCATGCACAGGGGGCCATCCTCTGCCAGACGTTCTAGAGAAGATGAAATCAGACCAGAAACATCCTTGGGAACACCGAGGGCCTGGGATCCTAGGTAGTGAAGCTCTCCACTGGAAAAAAAGATTGAGAACAATACCTTGCCTGCATTCAGTTCAGAAATTGCTGCCAAAATCTGCTGCCTGGACCCATCTGTCTTAATACCCAGCTCCTTCAAGTCGCCGTCGGTAAGCGTGAGGAATGCTTCCATATCCACCTGGAAAGAGAGAAGGGGGATTTGCTACCATCTGCTTGACGCCACACCTCTTTTTTCCAACCACAACAGAAATATCTTGATTATGGACTATTAGTGTTTATTAGTAGTGAGTTAATTATGATTTACTACTTCCAATTCCTGACTTTATCATGAAAGTTTAGCTGAAAGTATTATGAAGGACTAACTCTCCTCAGCTCTAGGGCTGGGAATTTCAGGACAGGTGCATTTTGGAAAGACCGTGACCATTTAACAAGGAAGGAGAGTTCCGAGACAGTGATGTGGGTGGCCAGAGCGGTGCAAATCCAAATCCGCTGTTAGAAAGTTGGCTCCAATGTTGCTGCACTTCTGATGATATTGGGAGCTGCACAGAAAAGGTGCACACATGGCGGTACTCACCACGTTTCCCCCCAGAAGACAAGGGAGATGCAGACTGTGGAAAGACAGAGAAAATAAACAAGCAGAAGCAATAAAGAAAGAAGGGCCATGGAGAACTGAAGCGGAGGAGGGCTCAGAACAAGGGCCACTCAAAGCCATACGACCCTTGGCTTCTAATGGTGAAATCCTAAAATTCCTGCTTGGGCCTCAGCTCCAGGCGAAAAATTAGTGGGCCTCCCTGCTATACAATGGATATGTTGCAGTCTGTCCTTCTAAGGTCAGATGTGGCTTGGAAGAAGCAAGCACACCCACCCTCACACACACAGGGTGGAGGACAGCCCTACACACCCCAGATCTGTCCTGGGGTCTCACTGTCAGGTGGGGATGGGGAAGACACAGACCAAGTCGTGTACACCTTGCAACGTAAGGTGAGTATACTACCATTCCCCATTTGGGGGCAGGGAAACTGAGGCATGGAGAGATTCAGTTCCCAAAGTCACGTGATGAGTCAGTGAAAGCCAAGATTTGAACCCAGGCAGTGGGCCCCAAGAGTCCTTGCTCTTCTCCACGGGCTCATGTCACCCTATGATGCTGCAGCCGCCGTCCCAGTGTTCCCTCCCGGGATTCCCCAGGGCAGCAGCCTCCTTGTTAATAGCACTTGATGCTCCCTAAGAATGAACAGGTTCTGTCATCTGTACAGGCTCTCCAGTATTAGACCCCAAAATGGCAGTCACCTGGGAGAGGTGGAAGGGCTCTGGCCGCCCCAGTCTCATCTCCAGCCCATGCCAGGGCGAGGAGGCACACACGGACAGAGCCTCAAGTCCCACCTGCTGCCTGGGGGCCCCGGGCAGGTACCTCACCTCCGTTTCCCATCTGAAACATACGAATTCTCTCACCATCTCACTTACAGGTGGTTGTAGGTTCTACAGGGAGTTTACGCAAAGCTTTGCAAACTACATTTATAAATTATAAAGATACTATCGTTTTATGTTATATTATACTGGTGCCATTTAAAGTAAAATTGCCTGGGTGGCTCAGCTAGTTAAGCATCGACTTCAGCTCAGGTCATGATCTCACGGCTTGTGAGTTCAAGCCCTGTATCGGGCTCTGTTCTGACAGCTCAGAGCCTGGAGCCTGTTTCGGATTGTGTCCCCCTCTCTTTCTTCTCCTCCCGCGCTTGTGCTCTGTTTCTCTCTGTCTCTCAAAAATAAACAAAATTTAAAACAAATTAAAAAAAAAAAAAACTTCTGTAACTTTTTGGAAATCCTTAATCCTTCACTTCATTTTTTTTTAATGTTTATTTATTTTTGAGAGAGAGAGAGACAGAGTATGAGTGGGGGAGGGGAAGAAAGATAGGGAGACACAGAATCCAAAGCAGGCTCTAGGCTCTGAGCTATCAGCATAGAGCCCGTCATGGGGCTCGAACTCCCAAACCTTGAGATCATGACCTGAGCTGAAGTCAGCCACTTAACTGATGGAGCCACCCAGGTGCCAGCCCCCACCCCCGCCACATTAGCCATTCACTTTAAAAGCAGGCTTTGTTTTATGTTCCCCCTTAGATACTGAACAAGATTTTGAAAATTTTTCTTCAAGACATTTGATGTATGTAGAAATAACACAATTTTTTTTTCTGAGAAATTTCTCCTATCTTTCCTTCTCTATTTTAACCATCATTTTACTTTACTGGATAAAAAAAAAAAAACAAAACCCTGAACCAGGTGCGAGCTGGTGGAGAAGGGTCTGCTCCCTTACGGGCCCCAAGCTCTCTGAGGTACAGGCATTATCCGTTTCCCTGTGTCTCTCTGGGACATGACAGCTCACACGGGACGGAGGGCCTCACAGGACAGATGGCGTGGTTCTGACAGAAACTGCCTGCCCCTGGCAGTGCCAGACACGCCCCTCTCCCCACACACCCACCCCCAGCCTGTCCCCACAGCCAGCTCCTCAGCACCTCTCTGCCCTCTTGCCCGGGGCCTCCCCATCTCGGCCTTCTAACTGGAGTCTCCCTCCCTGTGAGTCTGCCCCTAACTCCCCTACCGACCCTGGGCCGCCATCCACGCCACAGGCCAGAGATCTTGCTGGCCCTCGTCTGCCTCCAGACTGTGGTTCAGAGGGTCACGTCCATGCTGGCCAGGCCCTCTCTGCTCCAGAGGTGCCAGCCTCAGTCAGGCCCTGGCCAGGCCAAAGTGCTGCTGGTTCTCTGCACATGTCTGCTCCCTTTTTGCCCTTCTAGCCCCACTCCCCTCCCTCAAAGCGCAGTTTATGCTCAGCTGAGGTCTCCTCTGGCCCTCACTCTATAGGCCCCTTCCTTGGGCTCCCAGAATGCTCTGAGTGTTTCTCCCTATCCCAGGGTCAGGTGCTGGCAGAGGGACTGGTAGGGGACAGCGACCTGAGTAGCATCTGCTGACTGAATGACCACATCGATCAATACTCTACTGCATCCCCATCTGCACTGATCTTCTCAGTCTCTGACCTCTGTCAACCCTGGGGGTTGCCAAATCCTCACAGCTCATTTTAGGTGGAGAAGCCAGAGACTGAATTCTCCTCATGTGAATACTTCTGAAGGGTTAGCAGGATGCGGCAGAAACATCTGTGTCCTTTCAATATTCATGCCCTACTTTTTTTTTTAGTAATAGAATCCTAGTTGTCAGCTAGGCACATTTCCATGAAGCTAAAGTACTGTATTTCTGAGTTTCCCTTGCATATGAGTATGTCAATTGACAAACTTCTGGCTAATGAGATATAAGAAGGTTTATGGTACTTTGAGGAAGTCTCTCTAAAAAAGGAGAGCATGTGTCTTTTTGCTTCCATCTCCTCGCATCCTGGTGCCTAGAATGTGGATGTAATGGCCGGAGCTCTAGCAACCATGCTGGACTTTGAGGATGAGGGCCACACACCCTAGTGATGGTGGAGCAGGGAAGCTAGAAGGAGCTTAGATGACTCACTTCAAAACTTTCTGTGGGGGAAAAAAAACCTTCCATTTTGTTTAAGATACTATTATTTGGGGATTTTCCAATATATGCAGCCAAATCCATCCTAATATAAGTAGAGAAATGAAAATTACTAGTCTGTCTTCAGTTTCAAAATCACAAGATGAGAAAATGTATTAACTTCATTTCTCTTCCAAATTCTCAACACGGACTAAAAGCATATAATAATAGGGAGAAATTTTTACCAGCCTTGGAAGTGAGGGAAAATTTCTATCTGTATGCCAGGTTCTTCAAGGAATTTCTTAAAGGACTAACAAGTGCCCTGCAGCTGTGGGGATGGGTGAGGAGGTGAGGGCAGGGGCAATCAAGGGTGTTAAAACCTGAGTCCCATCAAAGCCTTCGAGGGAGCATGGGGTCTCCGGGTGGATAGACAGCAAATCTCACATAGTGCTACCTAGCTCGTATGTTGTCCAGAGAGGGGCTAAGCACAGGGGCGGGGGGACTGCTAAGCTGGCTCCTAACAAGGGCACTGGCTCAGCTAGCCTCACAGTACCTCACACACACAGAAACCCTCTGGCCACTGGCTCCCAGCACCCCTTCCAACAGTGCTGTCTCAGGACTCTGCACATTCCCAACCCCAGAGACCGTGGAGACTTTCAGGTGGGTGGGTTAAGACCACAGCAAATCTGCATGGTCCGCTTTCCGCCTTCCCTTTAAAACTCTGAAAGCCTCCCATTTCATCTGGAACATACCTCAGTTCCCTACAAGGGACAACTGCAAGAACCGGAGGATGGTGAGTGACAGGTATGCCCCAGACATGCCAGCTCCAAAACTGGGAGGAAGCCAAGAACTCAGAACTACCGTTGCCTTGTGAAACAGACATGGCCCCGGAGACGTGTTCTCTGTATACTCCAGGAGGGTATGGAACGGATGAAACAAAAGCAGGCAGCCATCAGCACACAGGAAAGACTTCTTGGCGATGAGAAAAAGTCACTACTGAAGTTTAAAATGCCAAAGTCGCAGGGAGGACACACTGGATGTGGCAGAAAAGCACATGGAGGAAGGAAGCCACTGCACTCTGTCTGCTTCTTAAAACCAAGTACAAACTCCTCAATAGCATCACAAGCCTGTCAGGGACGCTGAGTGGTTGTTTTGATTGCTACTGTAATTATGACAGCTGTCATGTACTAAACCAGGCAGAATATTCTAAACCAATGGTGATACCCTGGTGGCTAGTGGGCCTGCAGAGGAGTTTTATTTGGCCAAAACAGAAGTTTTTTTTTTTTTTAAACAACTTATTGAGATATAATTCACTTATTGTACAATCCACCCATTTAAAGTATACAACCCATAGGGAATATAGTCAATGCTACTGTACTAGCGACATGATGGGACAGATGGTAGCTACCCTGGTGGTGAACACAGCATAAAATATAAACTTGTCAAACACTACGTTGTACACCTAGAACTAATGTAACATTGGGTGTCAACTATGTGCAAATCACAAAATTTTTTAATTAAGAAAATGAACTGTATGATCCAATGATTTTTAATATATTCAGAGCTGTGCAACCATCCCCACACTCAATTTTAGAACATTTTCATCACCTGCAAAGAGAAACCCACCCCCAGATAAGCAGTCACTCCCCCCCCCCCCCACCCGGTTCTGTGCTCCCCCCACTCCCTGGCAACCACTAATTACTCTCTGTCTCTACAGAGTTGCCTATTCTGGACACTTCTTATAAATGGAATCATACCATATGTGGCCTTTTGTGACTGGCTTCTCCTCGGCATCATGTGTTCAAGGTTCCTTCATTTTGTAGCGTGTCAGTGCCTCCTTCCTTTTTATGGCCGAATTATATTCCATTGTATAGCACTAACAAATCTGGCCGTTCACCAGCTGATGGACATCTGAGTTGTTTGCCACTTGGTGGCTATGAGGAATACCGTGGCTGTGAGCATTCGTGTGCGAGTCTTTGTGTGGACATATGTTTTCAGTTCTCTTGGGCATATACCCAGGAGTGGGATTGCTGGGTCACATGGTAATTCTATGTTTAACATTTTGAGAAACGGCCAAACTGCAGAACAGTATTTTTTTTTGTAAAAAAAATGTGATTGTGAGTGCTTTTAAGCACTCAGATTAACACAGAGCCTACGTGCAGACACTTAGCATAGACTCATTAGGATTTGCTTATGACCCTCTTTAAACCTGAAAGCCGGTCAATCACCTTCGACAGAAGCATGTGCAGGACAGACATGAACTTCACTAGCGAGAGCGGTGCTCGAGACCACAAAATTCTGTTCCAACAGAACAAGCCATAAGGTCCCGGGATCTCACTGCGGTGAACTGCACTAAGTGTGCTGAACACAAATTCCGCCTGCCGTCTCAGGGAGAGAGATCAATTAGGCTTGCAGGATGAACACCCACATGTGTGAGACCATTTTCTTTTATGGTAAGATTTAGATGGACATTCAAAAATAACATCCTTACCTCTTGCTCCTCAAAAATGGGCTGATACTTCTCAAGTGATAATTTCTTAAGGATTCCAGTCAGTTCATCTTCAAGAGGGAAAGATGTGAAAAGATATTTTAGAATTTGGCAAAAGGCGTCAGAACAGTGGTCTTCAAACTTTCATAAAACAGTGGCAATCCTATTTCAAATGAAATGTCACAAGAAACTCTAACACAGAAAGCAGATCTAAGCTGCACTCGTGTGAATGCGGCAGGGGGTGGGTCCGAGCCATACTTCCCCTCAGGGCAGGCCCTTGGCATCTCCCCAGACTCCAAACATGGGGGTGTGTGTGCCCAGGCTGACCCTCCAATGGTTGCAACCCCCAAGTTCTCAGAGTTCTAACTGCTAGGACTAAAACTCCACTTTCTGTCCAAGAATGGTTTTTAATTATGATTTCTTGACTGCTGGTAGCTGCACCTGCAGCAAATGCTAATGCCAGCAAGTTGTCAGCGAGGCGGAGAACAAACTTAAGAGAACAAGCAGGTGGCTTCAGACCAGAACTGGAAGTTTGGCTCAGTGTGAAGAGGCTGTGGGCTTCCTGAAGGAAGGACAGACACATCTGAGTGGAACAGCAGAGCCAGAGGGGCACAGAGCAGGAGAAAACAGAAGATTTGGGATATCATGATTTCAGAGCAGGGAGGGTGAAGAAAGGAGACAAGACTAGCATCTGGGTGGGGGTGGGGGATAGTTTGAAAAAATATTCATTCACACATTCAACAGGGATTGACCAGTCCAGACACTGGGGACTCAATAAAGACCAAAACAGATAAGCAGGCTGCCAGGCCAAAGGCACGGAGGAAGGATGGAAGGGGGCAGGGGAAGATGACAGGGAATGGGAGAACATTATTTATTATAGAGAGTGGTAAGGGAAGGTCTCCTTTATATAAGGTAACATTTGAGCAGTAGATGGAGTGAACTGTGTAATACCAAGGGAAAGATCACGAGGCAGTATTCAGGCAGAAGGAACAGCAAATACAAAGGTCTTGGGGCAGTGGGTGCAATTCACAGAAGAGGGACTGGAGATTAGGAGGTCTGAGTTCCTTTTTTTTTTTGTAACATTTGTTTTTGATAGACAGAGAGACAGAGCACAAGTGGGGGAGGGGGCAGAGAGAGAGGGAGACACAGAATCCGAAGCAGGCTCCAGGCTCCGAGCTGTCAGCGCAGAGCCCAATGCGGGGCTCGAACCCACAAACCACGAGATCATGACCTGAGCCGAAGTCGGACGCTCAACCGACTGAGCCACCCAGGCGCCCGAGTTCCTTTTTTAATTCGTTCATTCAAGAGTGGATACCAACACGCCTACTACATGCTGGGAGTACAAGGATGGAAAGGTCCAAGCTGTAAAGGAGCTCAGCGTGGCTGGGAAGATAAAATGATGAGGGTGACAGCTGTTGCACCATCAGTCACCTTGTACATAGGTAACCCATTTGCTCTTTACAATGACCGTAACGATCCTATCAGTGTCTCCATTTACAGATGAGGAAGCAAGGCAGAAAAGCGTGGCTGCCGTATCTTGAGATCATGCCGCCAGTCCACGGCAGAGCAGGAATTCACACCAGTGGTCCAGCTACCAGGCCTGAAGCTACACACTGCCATCTCTCTCCTTGGTGACAAGCGCTGTGATGAGGGGCATCGACAAGGGGGTCTGGGGACAGAGAGGACAGCTGACCCACTTGAAGGACCAGAAAAGGCTTCACGGAAGAGTACTACTGCGCTAGGCTGTACGAGATGAATCGAGTCCCAGGCCACACTGAACCCACTGTTGCTCCGTGGCACCAAACCTTCGCTCGGGCTGTTCCCGCCACACGCAGTCTTCCTCCGTAGTGGAGGGCCGGGAAATGGTTAGCAACCGGCTCTCTGAAGGAAAACGTACGTAGGGAGGTAGGTACGTAAGCTTACTGTAGATTTTACTGATATAAAGGATGTACAGCACACAATTTACGTATAATAATAAACTACACAATACTGTTTCTTATAGATCCCATGCAGCCAATGCTTGCGTTGCACTTGAGGCACCTCACTGAACGCTTTCACTGATTTTTCCCTTCCTCTTGAGTCCACAGCCAATGAGTATAGTTCCAACAGGGATGCCGCTGGGGAGTTCCGCGGATGGGAACAAGTAAGAGGAAATGAAACAATGAAGACGCATATTGGAATTTCATGTGAGCAACTCTGCTGAATGAGATAATGGTTTTAAAATCCTGGAAGAACACTGTTGCAATTTTTTTGTGCTAGTCACAATATGACACACACACTTTTAACCTTCGTCTGCAATATGGGCATTTTCTCCATCACTGTCCAGATTACATCTAGATGGTCTATGAGATAGTAAACCGACCTCTGATTGGTGGCATTTGCTGATGTCACGGAGTCAATACCCTGCTCCTGACTGATTTTAGGCTAACAACACAACTAATGTTCCTGAAAGTGGAACGGAGAAGGGACGTGTGTGGTAGCACATCATGACATAGTATTCCTACGGCATAAACAGCACAAGTATTAGCAAAATGTACTAATAAATTAATAACAACATTTTGTTTTAAGTACCCCCTACCTTTATATTTAACATAATTTAATTATATAAGTTCATATACTTTGGCTTTTTCTTTCTTTTCTTTGGCTTCTTTATGTATTTGTTGTTGTTGTTGTTGTAATTTGACTCATAATGGCTGTGTTTCATCACTGGTTTATACATCTCCTGCAGATTCAACGATGGACTCTGGCCCACCGGCCCGGCCTGAGTGCCTGCTCTTCAGTGAAGCCTGTGCCATGGCACTCCATGCCTGGCTGATAACACAGATTTGACCCCATTTATTTACTTAAATGTATTGTGCTGAATGCAGCTGAATCCCCAGCCTGCCTGTGAGCTAACCCAGCACAGATTAAGGCACCCGGGACACAGGCTTCACCACTCCCCATAGAGGGGGCCGGAGGGGCCGCGGGAGGAAAGACGGGGCAGGGCAAAGGCTTGCGTGTGGTCCTCGACTGGGGCCAAGTGTTTCCCAGAAGAAATGTCATAAAAAGTAGCTGTCTGGGGATGGACTGCAGGTCTGTCCTTTGATAGTCTCATGCCCACGGGACAAAGGTCTTGCTGCCTCCAGACCCAGGAACTCTGGAGGGGAAAACTAGGCTTTCTACACCAGAGAAATTAAAAAGAAATTGCGGTCAGGTCCTCTTCTGTTTTTATCCCAACCAGGGCTTGCAAACCTTTTTAAATAATGAGAGAGAGGGAAAAGAGTGGGCATGGACAGTGCATATAGACCGCCACGGTCTCAACTCTTTTTTGGAAAAAGTGGGGGGGGTACAAATACCTAACTGAACTTCTAAGAGTTGGATTCCTGGAAGCCTCCAAGGTGGGAGAATTCATGACTGCACGTAGAAAACACGGTTAGGGAGGAAAAGGGTTGCTAGTGAATCTCTGAAGCTTTTATACATGGTTGCACTAGATATCACAAAACAATAAAAGCAGCCCCCAAATAAAGAGGATGCCAATGGCAGCATGCATTCACCAACTCAGTCCAGACCACAGCCTGTGAGGCTGATTTCAACCTATCACCTGCTGGGCACTTATCACCTGCTGGGCACCTTCCTCCAGGCAGCTGCGGGGAGACACTTGCAGCTGTGTCTGGGAGGCCCTGGCACACCTGACATTTCTCTCCTCTCTGAACACTACTACTTGGCTTGCACCTGCCTGGGTCCCATCTCTCCCCATAACTCTGCTCCCCCTCTCCCCCCGCCCCCTCACTGCCAGGACCACCAGAGGGCAGTTCAAGGGACAGGATTCTTCATCTCCTTTTGTCTTTTATATCTTCCTATCTTTATCTGGGGCCTCCCAGCACTCCTCCACTCCATCTTCCTTCCTGCATCTTCCCCACGGGAGGGACCCGCACTTCACCCACACAGGTTCTAAAGTTCTCCTGGTTACAGAGGACAGCTACTGTTTCTGCTTGCCCACCATCCCTCCCCTCCTCCTTCTGGAAACAGCACTTTGATTTCCCTTTGAGGAGTCCCCTCTCTCCTGCTCCCAGTCTACAAAGTGTCAGCAGGGCAGACCCTGAGCCCAGCTACAAAGGCAGACATGTGACCTGCGCCCAGTCAATCAGCACGTTCCACTGCCACAGATGCACAGTCAAGGATACACAAATGCCCCGTCATTATAAATAGAGACGAGGCAGGCCAATGACGTTTACCCCAGGATTTTGCTGGACCTACTAAGAAAGAAGCACTCTTTCTGCTGGCGTTGCTAAGTTAGCAGGAGAAGTAAGCAAGCCTGAAGTTCATGGGGGACAACTTTGCCACCGCCTAGAGACAGCCTACCTGAGATATGGAAACACTCCCAAAGTACCTGGATCCACACACGCCTGAAGCACACCCTGGACACTTTCATTATATGAGCCAACAAATTATGTTTTTTGCTTTTGCTCAAAGCAGTGTCAGTGGAGATTGCATTACTTGCAAATGACAGAATTCTGATCTGTACAAGGCTCAGGGAAAGGTACATCACTGGTGTTGGAGAAGCATTTCTACAAGTGTATGTCTGTGTACATAAACGAAACTCTACTAAGTTCAAAACCATTTTGAGGGAGCTTACCGGACGATTAGCAAAGTGAAGACAAAAATACAAGGTAGAATCGGGGAAGAATGGAGACAGGTGTTTTTGTTTGAAATTTTAAAAATGACCTAGGACCTAGGATGGCTATAGCAATGACAGTACCTGCCAGGTCACAGAGGCAAAGAGGAAAGGCTGGCGTTTTGGGACCTTGGGGGGCTCACCTTCATCTGTGATGGTGCCGCTGCTGGAGCCCCCACTGCTCTTGGACTGCCGATGGGGCGAGGAGGACACAGAGGACTCGGCCGCGTGCCCTTTGGGCGAAGGGGAGGGCGTGAGTGTGGGGGAGGTGCTTTTGGAGGTAGTGGAAGTTCCAGACAAAGGCCGTTTGCTCGTCTCCAGTTTCTGCTGAAAAGAATAAGACAAATACGTAAGCCATCACCTGGAGGGTAGAAGTGATTAAAACAGACACCCGACAGGGAACACGGGTGATAGCTGACTCAGCAAGATATCTAAGCAGGACTATGAAATCTACTTAAAAAAAAAAAAAAAAAAAAAAAAAACATGCAAAGCAGAAACAGTATTATTGGAACAGGGACAGGAAAATCCTGCCCTGGAGCACAGAGGCAGGGGGTAGGATGGAAAAAGTGGCACTTGAGGAGCCAGGAAGTCAGGTACTAATCCTGCCCGTAGAGCTACCAGCACTGTGTCCTTGGCCAAGTCCCCTTACCTCTCAGTTAATGCAGCTCTAAATGGAAGTGTGGCTTATAAATGCACGAGGTCCCTTGCTGCTCCTGACGTTCCTTCATCTAAACCAGTCATTTCCAACTTCTCACCAAAGAACACATCATTTTTCCCCTTTGTGTGTGTGTCATTTAGTTAAAAAAAAAAGAGCGCCTTTTTATTTTTAAATACTTTTAGACTTATAGAAGAGCTGCAAAGATAGAACAGAGCATTCCTGTGTATCCGTCAGCCAGCTTCCCCTGACGTTAATATCTTACATAACCGTAGCACAATCATCAAAATTAAGAAGTTAACAGTGGCACAGTACTATTAGGTAAGCTATGGACTTTACTCAGGTTTCACTGGTTATTCCACTTAATGTCCTTGTTCAGGTCCAGGATTCCACACTGCATAGACTTGCCATGTCTCTTTGACCTCCTCTGTGACAACTCAGTCTTTCCTTCTTTCATGACCTTGACACTGTGGAAGAATTGAGGTGTTTGCAAAGCATCCCTCAGTTTGGGTTTGTCTTATATTTTCTCATAATTAGATCTGTTTATGGAGTTTTGGATTAATGACCCCAGAGGTAATGAGCCATTCCTACCACACCATGCCCGGGGTCACACAGCATCCATTTCTTATTATTGATAACGTTAACCTTGATCACTTAGTTGAGGTGGTGTGTGTCGGGTTTCTCCATTGTGAAGTGATACCATTTCTCTTTATAATTAACAAATATTTGGGGTGGGGAGGAGATATTTTGAGCTAAATATCTTGTTGCTCCCACTAATTTTGGCATTCTTTGGTCGATCTTGTCTATAGCAATTACTACTGTGATGTTCTAGTGATAGGAGATCTATTTCCCCTATTCCTGTCACATTTATTTTCTGGAATTCTGGATGGAAGAGATACTACTTCCCCCATTTATTCAGTTATTTATTCCTAGCAGTATGGGCTCGTGGACGTTTCTTTTATAATCTAATCACTACTGCGATTTATTTTACAGTTGTTCAAACTGTTCCAGTTTGGGGCACTGAGATCTTTCAGGTTGGCTCCTATGTTCTTTCCCCATGTCCATCTTTTTGTTGTTGTTGTTTCTTTTTAAGAGCATCTCCTTACTTTCTGACACCACAAAATGCTTCAGGCTCATCTTGCATCTCCATGGACCCAGTACTGGAATAAACCACTTCTCCAAGGCTCTGGTCCCTTTTATTGGAGCACGGTATTTAGGAACCAAAATCTGGGTACTAGGCTGTTCGTGGCTACTGGGATATCACTGATTCTACGTTCTCTCAGTGGACAGACAGGAAAGTATACTAAGCCATGCATCCACATAGCCTGGCTTACTTCCATATAAATCTGTGTGTACACACACGCACACACACACACATTTACAACCACGCATTCGTACCGATTCCTCTGACAACAATCCAATATCCATGGGGTTTGTTCTAATATTTCCCCTTTGGTTCAATCTCTAACAGTTAAAAACTGGGCTCATTATAATTACTTATTTGCTCAACCCTAGTATATGTGTAAAGTGTACATGTATACAAAATGTATAAATAAAGTGGTTTCGGAATTAAACCCACATCCCTATAAGAACAACAACAACAAACGATCAGCGAGGATACAGTGTTTGGGTATGGTTATGTCTTTTACTTAGGCCTCACCATATCCCCTTGACCTAGTTTTCTCCCCCCATCTCCCAACGTGTGGTTATGTCAGTCATTTGTAATATAGTTAGATATGTCGTTGTAGTCTGCATTCCCTCTTTGGTTCCTGGCCAATACTGTTTGTTTGTTCTTTTAATTTGCATACAGCAGAAATAACTGTTGTGTATGATTCAACAGGTTTTGACAAATACAGAGGTGGGGGTACCATAGAGAAGAGCTCCATTAGCCAATTCCCTCGTCCTGTCCTTTTGTATTCGATCTCTCCCTCATCCCAACCCATGAAAATAACTGATCTGTTTTCCATCCCTATGTTTTTGTCTTTTCTAAAATGTCACATAGATGGAATGACACAACATGTAGACTTTTGGGTCTGGTGCAGCAAACTGCTTCAAGTTACTGCATGTATTGACAGTGTGCTCCTTTCCACTACTGAGCAGTGTCCCACTGCGTGGATGTACCACAGTTAGTTTACGCGTTCACCTGTTGATGTGATGGTTCCAGTTTGGCGTGATTATGGATTAAACTGCCATGAACATTCACAGACAGATTGTGGCATGAATACTTTTTAAAAATACACTTGAGTAAAGACCTAGGAGGGAGATAGCCAGTTCATAGGGTAAGTATATAGTTTTATCAAACACTGCCCAACCTTTTCAAGATGGCGGTACTGTTATCACGTTGCCCTGAGCACTGAAGTTCTAGGAGCTCCATATGCTCATCAGCACTTGTTTCTTTAAAGTTTTTAAGTTTTAGCCAGTCTAACAGGTATTTAGTGCTATCTCACTGTGGTTTTAATTTGCATTTTCCCCAGTAGTTAATGTTCAACGTTTTTTCATGTTTCTTTACCATTTGTATATTTTTGAGGAAGTATCAGATATTTTGCCTATTTTTTAAATTTGCTTTTTAATGAGTTTTGAGAGTTATTTGGTAGTTTAAATAGGATATGGCTAGGTGTATTCTTTTTATATTTATTCTATAGTGAGAGTTCCGGATTTATTCTATAGTGAGAATTTCCTGAACTTCCTAGATCTGTGCTTTGAAATCTATCATCAATTTGGGGAAATTTTCAGGCATTAAGATATTCCTTCTGTCCTACCATTCTCTTGCTCTTCAGAGCTTCTTATTACCTGTATGTAAGAACACTGGATATAATTCTACTGTTTTTGTTGTTCCTATTTTTGTTTTAACTTCTTTTTTCCTTTGTGTTTCAGTTTGGGTGATTCCTATTACCCAGTCTTCAACTTCACGGATTCTTTCCTTGGCTGTGTCAAGGGTACTGAGGAGCCCATCAAAGACATTCCTTATCTCTGTTACAAGTTTTGTATTTCTAGAATTTTCCTTCTTTCTTAGGGTTTCTATTGCTGAAATAGTTACTTATATGATCTTGCACATTCAAATTTTCCATTAGAGCCTCTAACAATTAATTGTAGTTCTTTCGAATTCATGGTCATGTAATTCCAACACCTGTGTCGTATCTAAATCAAATTCTGAGGACAGCTTTGTTTCTTGGGTGTGCAGTTGTTTTGTGTCTTTTTGTAGGTCTTATAATTTTTTGGTAAAATTGAACATTTTGACTAGGATAGCAGAGACTAAGATAAATAGTTTTAATGCCTGGAAGTGGGTACACCTCTCCTTCTGCTAAGCCTTCATGCTCTTCCTAACTACATCCCAGAGTGGAACAAGATGTCTCTCTTCGATTTTGAAAGACTGTCAATTAGCTGCCTATATTGTTGATAAATTCTTCCTTCTGCTTTTTTATAAACAAAGACATTCAATAACAAAGCTTCTGATTAGGCAGGAAATAATTAGTATATCCATACTAAACAGATCTATCCCAGCCGAAGCAAACAAACATGATACTCTGGACCTTGTAGGAGCATTATTGGGGAGGGGCAGATAAATATGATTATCTGGGATGCTCTAATAAAATATCTGAACTGTTCCCTATGTTCCCCGCATAGCAGATCTTGTTAATGGTGTCATCTCCACCCCTCCCTCAATCCATACCCTTTGCAACGTGTGTTTGTGTGTTCTTCTGCAGTGGGTGTGCTGATGTGCTTCAACAACCTGACTGGTTTTCAACTCATGCCTTTGGTTCTTGCCATGAGGACACATCTAAGCTTGTTGTGGACATGCATGGCCCAGTCATCCTGGTCACTCCAGCCAACAGCCAAATGTGTAAGTGATCCCTCCAGACCACAAGGACTACCCAGCTAAGTTCAGACTAAACCGCCAACCCACAGGTTCAGGAGCTAAAGAAACGCTTTTCTGTTTTAAACCACTAAGCTTTAGGGTGAGAAGAGAGAGCTGATGTATTCAGTGGGACTTTGAGCTTCCACAGGTCTGGGAAGCACCGACACACATTCTGACTCCCCTGATTCTGTGCCTCCTCAGGTTCGCTTCAGGCTGATTCGTGAACATGCTAGAAGCCATGCCTTGTGAATATGCTACCATTACGGTGGTGCTTATTTTAAGCAAAGTATGAAAACCAGATTCAGTAGGCTCCTATTTTGAATGCTAATTTCTAATTCTTCCTAAGGGAGTCTTTGAAAAACACTTCATGTCTTCATTTTGCTGCTGGAGCCTTTGACAGAAAGCCCACCCCTTGTGCCCTTTGATTTAGGGCAGTGGTTTCTAAGAGCCCTGGGCTGGGCTGATTACAATACTCTCTCGGGGGAAAATCAGAGTTCTCAGATCCCATCTTGAAGAGTCTCATACAGTTATCCTGGGTGGCACCCAGAGACCTGAATTTTTAGACAGCGCCCCAAGGTTACAGCATATTGTTAAGAATATCAGGTGTCATTGACCTGGATTGTTTCCTCGGTTTGTTTCCTGAGTGTATCTTTGGACACAATCTCCTTTCATTGGAATATACCTAAACATAGATTATATATAATAAATGCATTCAAGGGAGACAATGGTTGATATAATTTATAACTTAGACACCTACCTATTTTTAACACCAGTTAAGGAAAGCTAATAATATCCAACACATCTAGTAAGATCATCAAAATAGAAACAGAAAAATTTAAACAACAGAGAAGAGGAAAACGATATCAAAGCTCACACCAGAAGACTTACTTTAATTAGTAGCTCTGAGTTTCCTAGCAGCAAAGGCAAAAAGAGAAATACAATAATTATATAATCCTTACTATATGAAGAAAGAAAATGTACGAAAGTATTGGTAGAGACATTTTTTTTTCTAGAGCTGAATTCTAAAAGGAACTTAATTACACAGGTCCTATTATACAAGTAATTTTTGATATAATGGAAAATATGCTAATGCATAGGGAGAGAAACTTTTTCTGAAGCAAAGGAACCTAATTCTGTATGTCTGATTGCAAAAGGGACTTTGAAAAACAAAAAGTTCTGTAACCAACAGTGGTGGGCAGAAAATAAAGACTATTGCTTATACATCTGTTAAAAAAGCAGTCTCTGGAGGCACATCTGGGCAAGGGCCCAGGGGTGAGGCTTTCAGGTGACCTAACTTTTCTCCGGGAAAAAGCTCAAGCCATCTAAAAAATATGAAGAATGGGACAATGCTTGGCCATGGGGTCCTCTCAGAGGAGGAAATGGGCTACACTGCACCAAGGGAGAGGGGCACCTTGAGGAGGAGCCAATTTATACTGTCAGGAACCCACACTTGGTGGGGGTCGGGGGGGGGGGTCATTCCAGCAATCAGTCCAGGTGGAGGGGCTCAAAAGCTAGAAGGGTCAGACTCTATAGACACAAAAAGACTTCTCACTACAGAGAAGCATTGAGGGTTTCCTGTCCCTTGCAAACTCCATATAGATACTGACAATGTGGTGACTGCTCTTGGGCTGCATGAGTGGAGGAAAGGTGCCAGGCAGTGAGGTGAGACTCCAACTCTGTCCTGTCTACCAGCAGGACTGCAGCTCCTCCCCTCTGGAATGCCACAAATGTTACCCCCTGACAGTGGAACGGTGTCACACCCTGCCCCAGCCCTGCCCCTTTCATCAGCTCCTCATCCTTCAGATCCCCATTTAGGGTTCCCTGATGCCCTCAAGCTTGGGTAGCAGCCCCCATCTGTGCCACCACAACATCCTCCCTTCTCCACGACAGCTCTTACCACACTGAGTGAAACTGAGTCCGCAGTGACACCCCGAGAGGGTCACCAAACCACCGGTTCACCGCTGGATCCTTACTGCTAGCAGTGCTGGGCACAAAGCAGACACCCCAAAGATGTGCACAGTGAATGAATAAGGTAGGACCACAGATACTACTGCTGATAACGTCAGCACTTACAGCTGACACTTACAGGCTCGCCAGGTGCCAGGCCCTACTCGAAAGGCTGAAGTGTGGGGCTGAGACCCAATCCCACGTAGTCTGCTCCTGTTCCCACACTTCACACCTCTTTGCTCTAAGCAATGAACAACTCGAGGCTGAACGAGGCACCTGGAGGTGCCCTGCAGGTCAGGGGGGAGGTAGACCCATGCGTGTAGGGGGCCGAGGGCACAGGGTGTGATTCCGGCAACTGCACAATCCAGCCTCTCAGAAAGCCCGGGAGCGAGCAGCTGGAAGGGGCCTCTCTTTAGTGCCGTCCCCCTACTGTGGCAGTGCCTGTGCTCCCCAGCACGTGGGCCACATCAGGACAGAACGTGTGAGTGTAACAGGAGACAGAAACAGAACAAGCACCTTGCCACTGGGACCGCCGCTGCCTGCAGGAGAGACTGGGAGCTCAGATGAGCCGGACCCTGGCGCTGGCCCAACAGGACTTGACCGGTGGCTGGCCTTCTGCTCAGATAATCCGGCTGCCTTTTTCCTCTGGGCAGCAATTTGTGACAGGACACTGTCTATGCTGCCACCTGAGGAAAGAGGAATAGACATGACTGCCTCAGGAGTTCAGGGTCCAGCAACATGACTATAGTGGACTTCGTGTGCTGACCTTGCTGAGCTGGAGAAGCATTCCCCAGACTCCCCTGAGCCTCTGCGGCTGTGGGTCAGGGCTGACCACAAGAGGCCTGCGCGTGGAAACCAGAGGTGGCCAGGTGCGGAGGTCATCACACGCCAAAGGCACCATGGCGAGAGGTACTGGAAGAGGCAGTGCAGGCACAATCAGCTTGTCCTCACTTTCCCCTGCCAGAGCCAGCTTGTGCGGCCTCCGGAAGGCACAGACGCCCCGCCCGCGGCAGCCCCAGCACCGCCCCTTCCAGTAGCCACACAGGGGCTGCCTGCTTGCCCTCTGACCCCCCTTCTGGAGCTTTACCAACCCCACTCCACAGCTGTGCCAATAACTTGCTCAGTCCACAGCACTCAGAGTGGACTGCCGTGTTCCCTCTCCCAGTTTCCCCAAATCCACCAGCAATCTCGAATTATTGTGAAAGAAATAATTCTAGAGAGCTAGAGAGGATCCGAGCGGGAAAACACCAATAACTAACATTTGTGAGGCAATAACCAGCTGCCACATACTGCTGTGAACATTTCACATGTTTGAACAGTGCCGCTCTGGGGGCAAAACCGTGAATTCACTGAAAAGTCCCTTAGCCACACCAAGGAAGGGGACAGGGTGTGTGCCGTTGTTTCTGGGACTGTCCACTGAGCAAGCGCAGGGGCGAAGCAAGGTGGGGGGACAGACCCCCAAGGGGTCTTCCCGCCTCCCCGGAGTGGCCCCCCTGGTACCCACCTGAGCGGTTATGCAGCTCCCCACCATGCCTGCTGGAGCCCCCGACCCCACTGGAGCCGCCTGAGGAATGAGGTGAGTGGTTGAAGTTTCCGGAATTGGCAGGAGAGGCGGGGCTTCTGGAGAGAGATGGAAATTTAACCGGCCTGACAGGAGTCTGCAATAGAGTGGGTGTCCTGGTTACGGTTTGTTGTTGCCTCCTCTGGACGTACATGACCACAGGAGAAGGGATCCGGATTCCACTGGCTCACCCCAGCCCATGTGGCCCTCGCCAACTGGTGCTCAGCCTGAGGGGAGTCCCCTAGGGAAGGGGAGTTCATCCTCATCTACTGACGCTGTTCCCCCTGAATCACCCCACTTTCAGGATCACTCAACTCTTCCCACAGTGCAGACTAAATGCAAACCAGCCCTGCCCACTTGAGGCACCTCCAGGGCCAGGCTCTCTCCCACTGGAGACTTGATACTGAGACGAGGCAGCAGCAAAGGGGGTCAGCCCCATCTTTACAGAGAGAGATGGGGGTTCTGGGTCCTTCTAATCACTCGGCACACAGTGGCAGGGCGAGGTCCTAAGTCCTCACCTGCGGTTTGCCATTTGCTGCATCTACAGTGTGGGCAGCCTACACAGATGGAGATAAGTTCCCTCATCAAGAGGGACAACCTCAGGACATTACAGAGACACAGCAAGGGCCACAAGTCAGAAGCCACTGTAGGCAAAAGGCTAGAAGTCACACTCCTTGTGGGTGTAAGAAAACACCAGTAGTGCACATAGTCTTGGTTATGGACCTGAACGATGATGTAATGTGGAAGGTGGTTAGAAACCAAAAACTTGACTCCTGGTCCCAGGCCCATGCCATATGGCCGGGTGCTCTGCAGCAGGCTGGTTCCCCTCTCTGAGTCCCAGTCTTCCATCTACTATAGGGAAGCTTAGATGAGATCAGGTCTTCAGCCTGTGCTCCTGGGGGCCCCAGAGAAAAGACAGAGAAGAGGGGCCCTCGCTTTCATTCCCTTCACCCCACGTTTTAATCTGTTAATAAAGTGTCCCTTTGTAGGATACACTGAAACAAAAGAATATCCCTCATTAAAAAAAAAAAAAAAAAAAAGCCTGAAACCTGCTGGAAAAGTGGGTCTGAGGTCCCTTCTGCCTGCAACACACCCCAACTTCATTGTGAGTGATGTGTCAAAGTACATCCAGTGGGAGACTTACAGCATCTGTGCTCCCACCGCCCATGCCCACGGGGGCACCCCGGCCAGCTCTCTGGGGCAGCACAGTCTTCATGGGTTCTGCCTTCCCACCGTGACATGTCCGGGACCGGTCCGAGCTCCACAGCTCAAAACTGGAAGGGGGTAAGAAAGGGGGGATGACTGCCTTCAGCTTGTCACTCGGGAGTCTGGGGAAGGGGGCTCCATTTCGAAGCTGAAAAAGACAGGCTGTGGGTTAGACAAGCTCCCCCCCCCGGGGGGGGGGGGAGGCTCCCAGCTCTTCAAGAAAGACTCCAGGTTTCTCCTGCTTCTCAGAGAATGGCACCATCATCTACCCCCTCATCCCCACACCCGGCCAGAAACCATGTGGTATCTTCTGCTCTACCAGCAACCAAGCAATACCCCCATTTACTCTGCTCCAACCCCCAGCTTCCCTTGGGACCATTGCAGCAGCTAGAATGGAAACAGAGGGGATGGGGAGCCGAAGCGAGGCCAAGGGATGCTGGGTGTGCTGTGATGATGGCACCGGGGGGATGGGGAAGAGGGCACTGCAGGCCCAGGGAAAAGAACTCAGGCAGGCCTGACAACCAGAGGAGCAGGACGTGTGTACAGAACTGGGGGTCTCTGAAGGAAGGGACAGGGCACAGGGGACCAGGAAGCCCAGGCTGGGCTCTCTGTGAGCCCAGCAAACACTCTTCCCCACCCCACCGCACTCTCCCTAGTCCAGCCACACCTCCCACTGCTGACATTTTTAACTGTAATTTTGTATTTCGAAAATGTAATTTAGAGTTAGCATAGAATCCACACAATGATGACTGGTGGACTGTCAAGGAAAAGTATTCACACAGTCCGCACTAACATTAATTAAGAAAAGACAGTGGACTTGGTGCCAGATGGTGCTTTGCAGGGAAGGGCATCCCACAGCTAAACCTGCCTCGGGAGCCGGGCAGGCGTGCATCTCCGCAAGGATGGCTGCAAACGCCCACTCGGCAGGGCTCCCTGGCCATCCTCCATCTGCCGAGGGGTAGGCCAGTGTACCGGTGCCTTCCACGGGGCATGAGGAGGTGGGACAGGGAAGTGCCAACGCAGGAGGGTAGGCATCCTGGGTCCCACCCTGGCTTTCCTGAGCTTTTCTGAGAATCTGTGAACAGTGCCGTGCCCCCCGGACCTCAGCAACCTCATCCAGCAAGGGGGCTGGGACTGGAAGAGGACTAAGGATGCCCGCAGCCACAAACCCACCACAGATGGACATTTTCATTCCTTGGGGACAGAGTCTAAATTGTTGCAAACTTTCCAGAAGGCAATGACATTTGCACCCATTGACCCAGAGATTCTATTTCTAGACATTTAGCCCAAGGAAACAGGCAAGTGGGAGAAACTGAGGCATAAAGATATTCATTAGATCCGTGACAACAACAAAAAACTAAAAACCCCGAAGTCCAACAGGTAAGCCTTCACTGGTGTGTGAGGCACGTTCCCAGGACAGAATGTTGCATCATGCAGCCATTAGATGTGATGTGGCTAAGAGTGTTTAATGACATGGAACAGATGGTCAGACAAACTGTTAATAAGTCAGGCTCAGCATAGTATGGGGAATAGAACAGTGCCCACCTCACAGGGCTGCCAGGGGGACTAAATGAATGAATATATGTAAACTGCTCTGAGTAGCAGCTGGGACTTAGTAAGCGCTGTGGAATTTGCCATTATCATGTAGGACGTGATATATTCATAATGCTAAAAAATGGTTAGAAAAATACCCAAAACTTATCTACCCCAAAATGTCAGTCATGATTATGTGTGTCATCAAGGGGGATTTTATTTTTCTTCTTTATATTTTACTGCATCTTCCAAAATTTCAAGAATAGATCTGTTTTCATACAAAAGTAATTACTGCTATTTAATGAGATGATCAAACATCAGGTTAGTATAAGCTCCCACTTTAGTAATCTGATCTAGAGACACCAATTTACACCCATTGCAGAGCAGGGCAGGGCGGGGCAGGGCTGAGAAAGCAGGTCCCAGTCAGGACCCAGCCCGCTCAGCCCCTTCTGAGGATGCTTCGGCTCCCTTCTCCTCTCCAATACTGCCCTCTCCTGGCCAGCCTCCAGATTAGGGTCTTAGAGCTAAATGGACTTGAGTTCAACCCCAACCCTCATTTAAAGAAAAGGAACGCGAAGCCCAGAGAGGTGAAGTCACATGTCCAAGATCATACAGCAGGTAACCAGGAGCTCATTCTGGGCCAGGCACTATGCTAAACACTTCCTGGGGACAACCTTATTCAAAGAAACAGCCATGAAGGATAGCATCCCTTAAAGTCAGACACTGCCAGATGTCCCCCAGGATCCATCTTCCACATCTTCCTTAGTAGACACCCCTGGCATTTAGACGGGACACAACCACCTGGAACAGAGACTTCCTTTCCCAGCCCCCCAGCCTCCCACACGTAGTGTGATGTGACTAAATGCTGGCCAATATGATATAAGCAGAAGTGACGTGTGAGTTCCCAGGAAACTTCTTGAAAGACACCTGGTGTGCCCCTGGCCACTTCTTTCCTCCCCTCATCATTCTTGCTGGCTAGAAGGAGGCAGTAATGGCCACAGCTCTGGTGGCCATCTCATAATAGAAGCCAAGCCTGGGAGACCAACAGGTAGAAGGACACCATGTGTCAACATACTCGTCCTGAACTGCACTTGAGAAAAAGAAACTGCTGTCTCATTCATGCCAGTTATTTGAGGACTTTTGTTACTAATCCTGATGCATCTCTAATTCATAGATGAGGAGACTGAGGCCTCTCAGGCTGGAAACACAGCCTCCTCTGTGACTCCTCTCCTCCTGACTCCCCAAAACCAAAACGGTGACTCCGCTGTCACCCATCAATTCCTACTCACAAGCCCTGTCCTCAGCGCTGCCTCCCTGTGAATGCAACCAGGGCTTACATCTGGCCACTAAGCACCAGCACCACCTTACCCACAGTTTAGACTGGCATCTGTTCCAATTCCTCAGCGCCAGAGCTGTGCCCACTGTTACACATTTTGCTATCAAGCCCATCTGCGACTACCACCAAGAGAGACACATGTCCACATCCAGCCTTGTAAATCAACTAATGACTGGTAGAGACTTGAAATGCTTTTAGAACAGCCCCACACTCACCATGGTTGTCAATAACACATCTTCTTTGTCTCCTCTCATGCTCCCGGGACCTGAGAGACAAATGGAAGTTTCCTGAAATGACCCCTCCCAACAAGTTCATGGCATGAGGATGAGTGACCAGGGTAGCCTTCATCCTGGAAAACCAACTCTCCTGAGTGATTAAATATTTAATAGTAATTGGTATCCAATACTTGAATAGACGGAAAGCATTTAAAAGGTGTCTCAAAGCGTGTTTTCACCTTTTCCATAAAGCCCTGCGTGCTGGGTCAGACAGTGATGCACCCAGCTCAACAGCTTGTCTCAAACAGTGCTGTGAAAGGAGCAAGGCTGGGTGTGGGGAGTCTGTTTGAAGGGGTGTGATCTGATCAACTGTTCAATCAGTGTGGGAATCACCTTCAGTGCCCTGGCAAAGTCATCCAATCTGTTGAATACCTCCAGCGTTGGGAAGCTCACTTCCTACCCTCAGATAACTCGTTCTATTTCTAAACGCTTCCAGTGCCAGAGATCAATCATGTTTGATAGGTGGGAAAATCACCTATCAAAGGCAAGAGAGAGGCAGTTTCTGGCCTCAAGGCCCTGAGCAGGGCGTGTGGGACAGAAACCAGGGACCCTTGCCACCAACATCCCCGTTCTACCATGCTGACCGCATTTGTGTCCCTGCCCATTTCTCCTTCCCCAGACCAGCCACTTTGTTCCAGGGCCACATTCCAGTATCATCTCACCTCTCACATCAGCCCAAGAGGTAGGACAAAGGGCAGAGAATTTAGGTTTGACCGTTCTGGAAATTTTACAGCACATGCAGTTTTTTCTTACCATTATCTTTCACTGTGGGGGCTACATCATGAAGCCCCAAGCGGCTTGTCTTGTCCTGGGGGGCCGCCCTCATTGTGGAGTCCAGCGCTGAGTCTGGTTCATCACAGAAAGGCAATGGCTGGTTGCTGGAGAGCCTGCGGGGCAGGGTCTGCATCAGTTTGAGCTTCCGGAACCGATTGGACATTCGGTTCCACCAGGACTGCCAAGGGAACGCAGAGCAGAGGTCATGCTCCAGGAACAGCCAGGCCAAGGACGGTGACACACTTTATACACACTTCCCCTCTGCTCTCCTGGGCCCATGACAGGTATTACCAATCAGCCACAGCAACCCTTCCCGTAAGGCCATGGTTCTCTCTAAAGCCTTTCTGACTCAGCCCTTCGAGGCTCTGACCTCTGACAGTGGACCCTATCTGCTGCCCCTCATCTAGTCAATCTCCGCATCGCACAGATTGAGAAATGGAGATCCAGATGGGGTGCCAATTGCTCAAAGTTTCACAGTGAGTCAGAGACAGACAGATGGACAAGAGGCAACGTCAAACACCATAGCATCAGTCACTGCATAGGCTCTTCCCCCCTTTCCAGTGACAGTGTAAGAGGTGTTGTCCACACCAAGGCCTGGGCCATCTGTTCTGGCAGCTGATGCCTCTCCACCCACAGAGAGGACCAATGCTGCCCCCCCAGGGTGTCCCTAACCCTGTGACCGCTTGGGGGTTACGACACAGCAGGAAGGGAGGCTGCGAGGGCCTGGGTTAGGTAGATGGCAGCGAGCACAGGGCTGAAGGGACCTATACAAACAACACTGAGAGGAAAACACGGGGCTCTAGTGAGTGAGCTAAGAACAGGAGCTGAGTCTGCAGATTTGAGGAGGTGCTAGAGTCCCAGACAGGATAAAGAAAAGGTAAGTGTGACTTCAACCAAGTAGAGCAGGATGGGGAGGAGGAGAAATTCAAAGAAATGAGCAGCTGGAGGTTGTTTTGGTATTTCCAGAAAGCCCCAGCTGGAGGCCTGTGGGCTGCAGGGAGACCCCAGAATGGCGCAATCAGCAATATCCCATATGCTAAAGCAGAGGCCGCAGACAGACAGCCTGGAGGAGAGGCATTTGGTTCGGCCAGCCCAGTACTACATCATGCAAAACTCTCCAGTTCCCGACATCTATAAATTGGGTTTCCATATCTAGCGTCCTAGCATTTCCTGAAAAAAATGGGACAATCTGACAAGATGAACCCACATTCTTGCAAAGTAGTCACTGCATGTGATAGGATCACACCAGTTTTCCCTGATCCCCACTGTTCCTTATTGCTCACCCACAGCCTGTTTCCCGTCCCTGCTTGGTCACCCTCACCCTAAACCAGCCCTGCATTAACAGGAAGCAGCAGGCATCCCCCACACCGTCAACCTGGCTCTCTTTAAAGCCCTTTAGGACAGGAAAAGGCAAACCTTGAGCCCGCCTTTGTCATCGGGCAGCACTGGGACACTCCAAGGCTGTCGGACCTTCGAGTGGGGCAGAGGTGGTGGGTGGCTGGGCCGGCCTTTGTCTTTATTCACCTGCATGCAGACAGATGCCAGCAGTCGAACAAGTTCCGTGTCTATGGACACAAAAGGCAGCGCTTTACCTGCAAATACGTCTGCTGGGCCAGGAGAGAGGGCTCAACAAGACCCGTCAGCCTTAAAACTCAACCCTGCAGCTCGAGTCTATGTTACTCCGGAATCAAGGCACCGGCTTCACCGTCTGGTCTTCGAAAGGTGGCAAACAGGCCAGCAGGGCTTAATCCACTTGACCAGAAGGAAAAACCAGGAGCCCTCTCTCCACAGAAAGACAGTGGGGTAAGTGTGTTTTAAAAGTACAAGCTTGGGGCACCTGGGTGGCTTAGTCGGTCAAAGCATCCAACTTCGGCTCAGGTCATGATCTCGCAGTCTGTGGGTTTGAGATCTGCATCAGGCTCTGTGCTGACAGCTCAGAGTCTGGAGTCTGTTTCAGCTTCTGTGTCTCCCTCACTCTCTACCCATCCCCTGCTTGCGCTCAGTCTCTCTCAAAAATAAAAAATAAACATTTATAACAAAAAAAATTTTTTAAATAAATAAACAGATAAATTAAGTATAGGCTCTGCAGCCAGACGTCAGGGGGTTAAATTCTGCTTCTGCCCCTCCCTGGCTGTGCAACAGCAGGTAAATTAGGGAACTTCTCTGTGTCTCTGTAAAAGGGGTGACAGGATGCTGGTGCATAAAGGTGTCTGAAGGATGCGAGGGAATTTCTGGCATAAGGGAAGTGCTTAAGAAAGGTTAGGTATCATTTGCAGTTACTAACTGGGTTACCAAAACAACAGCGGTTGAGAAGAAAATATTACAAACTATTAACACTGCTTTTCTCTTGATGACTGTTTTTTTTTTCTTTTCCAAGTGTCCAATAATAAGCACGTGTCTCTTAAAAAAATTCAGGCAAAAACTTCATTTAAAAAACCCACTAGGAAAAAAAAATTGACTAGGGAGAGACTCTTATGGGGCAAGGGAGAGGGAAGTGGTCGGGAAGGGAAGAGGGAGAAGAGACACAGTGAGACACGAGTTTATCTGAGAAAAGTGTGCGCGATCCAGGAGACGGGTTTTAATGACATAAAATCTACGCACGTCAGGAGGGCCTCCGACGAGGTGGAATGAGCTCACTGGACTTGACCGGAGGACCTCACCTCACTGGCTGGGGATAAGCCATTTCCCCTGGCCTCAGTCACCTCCCCTCCACAAGGGGATACGCAGCTCTGCTTCCCCTCACGCACACTGCGAGGATGAAATGGAGCCGAGTGTGCATCTGAGATATGCGGGGCCGGCAGCAGGCAGGGCGAGGGGGCAATGCTGGGGAAGAGGGAGGACTCTCTGGCAGGGCACCCCATAGCCGAGAGGGGCAGCAGGGCTATGTCCACTTGGGTCTGTGGAGGTCAAGTCCTCTCCCACGGCCAGCAGGCTGGGATTTGGCTCAGGGGTCAAAGCCTGTGGGTTAGAAGGGCCTACTAGCCTCTCTCTTTCCCTGGGCTGAAACTCCAGGGCAACAGAAGAGAGGATGGACGGACAGACAGACTCTGACCTTTGGGCCACCTAATTGGATGCGTCAGGTCCCAGAGGAGGGCCTGTCACAGTGGGGGAGAGTCCGAGGGGAGCAGCAGATGCCAGCAGGGCCCGAGAGAGGTGGGACGAGGGATGGTGACACCCCCAGCACGGTGCCCTTGACCCAGCAGCCTCCACCTACACGACTGAACAGAGGAGGTCACTACTCCATCTTTGATTCTGCTTGTCAAAGGGGCCTTTCTGTTTCTTCCTGGGGCAGGGTTTCTGGTCACAAAGCACAGATACCATTCCAGGACTTGCATGGACTGCCAAGGCAGACTCGTGTCTCGCTGGCCTTCCCTCCTAGGAGACTCCTGGAAGGCTGGCACTGGAGAAGCCTAGGAGACTACCTGGTGCCAGCCCAGTCTTTGCCGAGGAGGGAAGGAACTCGCCTGAGGACATGTGGTGAGCCCTCGGGGCTTGAGAGTGACCTCCCTCATGAGTAAGCAAGGGCTGGACACAAAGGTGATTATCCTGATTCCCCGCCAGAGAAAGGCCATGAGGGTCTTCGACCCTTTTCCTGAAACAACCCACCAGGGTCACTCAGCAGCATCACTAGGTCAAAGGCCGTGTACCCGTTTTTTGCACGAAGAGTGACATCAGCTCCTTGGTTTAGCAGGTATTTGACAACTTCCTTATTCCTAGGGAGGAAAGAAAAAGCCAAGGTTAGATGCACTGAAAACAAAAGCCTGGTTTTGCTCCTGGGCAAGAAGCTGACGATATTAGCGCCCATCTCTGAGCCTGAAAGAAGGATGTGAAAGGCTGCAAACTGTCTCACACTCCCTGTCCCTACTCCATGGGGAGTCAGCGCTGAATGTGATGGAAACCAAGGCTGATGTGCTCCATCCACAAGCAAAAGAAAAACGACATGGCCATGACCACGCAGGTCCTAACTCCTGCTGCCCCAAATCGGGACCCCTGCGCTGCAGAAGCCTCACAGAGGCTGAGGTGTCTGATGCAGTTGTCCGAAGCTCACCAAATAAGAAGAAAAACTGCTTCAGGATGACACAGGAAATTGCTGTGATCACCTAAAACAGGGCAAGGAAAAGGAAAAGGCCTGTAATTTGGAATCAGACCACTTAGTGGCTGTTAAGACCGTCTGCAGGCAGCTCCCAGCCCCTGGGTCAACCTATCCGAAAGGGGTGGCCTCCAGGAGGACAGACTGAGAAGGGACTCAGAAGCACCAGTCAATGCCGGTGCCTATTCAAAAGGAGGGGTCAGGACAAGTCTCAGCACTGGTTGCCCAGGAGCCAATGGTACGAATGGCTGATGTTCCATTTCCAATAGGGGTAACTTAAGGACATCAATGGGAACACTCCAAACAAACTGTTCAACTGAAATCAACCCACAGAAACTCATCTTCCTGCAGAAAATGTTCCTGCTGCATGGTTTTTATGGCCCCTGGTGAATTCTGTGCTGAGGTAATAGGAATCAGGACACAGAAGGTAGGGATGCAGAACAGAAGGCCCCTGCACTTCTTTAATTTTGTGTGTGTGCCTCCAGGTCTTCACAGCTATAGAGTTTATCTGCAGCTTCTCAGGACCAGAAAACCCCACCAGGGACCCTAGCTCAGACCAGGGCATTCCCTTAGCCTCGCGCTGAAGGAGTGGAGTCGGCACTGACCCATGGTAGGTGGCCTGCATGAGGGCTGTCCAGCCATGCACGCTGTCTTGCTTGTCGATGTCAGCACGCCTCTCCACCAGCAGCTGCACCAGAGGCAGCTGCCCCGTGACGGCCGCCAGCATCAGCGGGGTTGCCCCATCCCCATTGACCAAGTTCACATAGTTAGGGTCTTCGTCTGCGATCTCTTTGACCAGCTGGAAGTTTCCTGCAAACAGAAGCAGAAGCCTGGTGCTCAGTGGGCCTGGCACTGCTGGATTACTTATCCAGTGGGTTATTAACAAACATATGCTCTACCTGCCCCTGCACTGGGCTGCTGGGTGTCACATGGGCTACAAAGATGAGAAGGAGGTAGCCTCCACTCTCAAATCCCCCAATCTTGGAGGGACGCACACAAACAGCTTTACTGAAAGACAGAAGTGTTATTGAGATCTTAAGAGAACAGATGAAGGAAACATGAAAGGCAATGCACATACAGGGAGCTCAGATCAGCGTGGGGGTTGAGAATCAGGGAGGGGTTCCTAGAGGTGGGGGTCTATATCAGGAGAGGAGATCTTAGGCTAACTAGCCCTTCATCACAAAGAAAGTAGAGAGTAGGTAGGCAGTGAGGAACCTCAGAAGTAGGGAAAAGCCAGAGCACAGCCACAGGGTTTGGCCAGAGGGGTGGGGGGCCTGGGAGGATGGTCTGGAACCTGTGTATAAGCACCATAATAACTATCAGCTTCCAGGGGTTGAACCCTCCCTGTGTGAAACTACAGTCAGGAAACAACAAAATGCCCGTTTTCTTTCGCAAACACTCTGGGTGGCCTTAAAAAGGACTACAAGTACTAGATTGGGAGAATGTGTCCCTATCTTCATAAATCTCTAAAAAGATTTTCAAAAGCACTTACCCATTTTCAACGCGTGGAAAATATCAGGCCGCCTTTTCTCCTCATCTAGGTAAATAAGGATTTTAAAAGTTAACCAGGAAAGGTTTAGTAGAACAGAGAAGTCACAAGCACATAACAATACAGCCTAGCATTTAAAAATGATCTACTTTCCAAAAGCAATCAGATAAAAGACAAGTGTAGCAGATGAATCCAGTAGCCCTTCTGGAAGAGTTATCATCACAGAGTGTCTGTAAATGCTCCAGAGATAGATCTTGGGCAGTCATCTGGCCAAAAAAACATGAATAAGCAGAACATTTCCTGATCCCACACTCACGAAGCAATCATTTTGGGGCATTCCAAACTCTGGGATAGACTCTCTTAGATGTAATGGAAAAGTATAGTCTTGGAAAAATCTGGATTCCTATGAAAAATTTTAAAAGAAAGTGGTTCTTTTCTACTGAAAACTAAATGTACAACCATGAGATAATTCCAAAACAGAGGGTCCGAGACAGCAGCTGAGCCCAGAGGGAGGTCATCGAGACGGCCACCAGAAAAGCCAATGTTAATTTTTGTTTTCCTTCCCAAATAAGGAATCTGAAGGATTCTGAGAGTCACTCTGCCCCAGACTTGCAGACATGGCTCTCTGCAGACCACTGCCCACCTGAGGTTTCCGTGCTGGTCCCTGCAGCCCAGCTCCTCAGCTGGTCCAGAAGCCCATGCCTACCCCCAAACCTGGGCCTTGCTGCACCCACCAACGCTTGCCCCTCCTTCATCTGCTCATCTGCCACCTTCCTCCAAGCTGGTGAGTACTGTGCTACTGTCAGACAGTAGACATCATCATGACCAGTCCCCTCACAGGTGGCCGAAGGCAGGACTTACTGCAATCTCTGACTCTAGGGATGGAGTGGCTGTGAGGGGGACCTGTGACTCTGGGCTAAATCTCAGGTTCAGGTCAGCCCCTCGGGCAGCTGGGAAGAAGCTGCAGCACAGTTCAGGGACCACCGAGTCTGGAGTTGGCGTATCAGAATTTGAGTACGTTTCCAGGGTGATTGGTCTCATCAACAACAGGGGATAACATGCTAATATGGGGACCGTGTGGTGGTTGCAGGGATCAATAACATAGGTGGGAGAATGCTTCAGAAAGCCTTAGGCCTCATTCAAAGAGCAATTTTTGTTGCCTTCACTGGTGATTAGCACCCACCCCAGAAAGGGTGGTACTTAACTCCAGAGTTCTTATAGAGGACAGACAGGGCCATGGAACCAAATGCCTAATTTTGCCTGGGCAATACTATTAACAAATGATTCTGAGCCAGGGTGGCTCAGTCGGTTAAGCATCGGACTCTTGATCTCACCTCAGGTCTTAATCTCAGGGTTGTGAGTTCAAGACTTGCATTGAGCCCCACGTTGGGCAGGAAGAACTACTTAAAAAAAAAAAGATTCTGCATCTTAGTTTTAAATAGGTCACATTCCTTTAAGTGTCTAAGAGTCTAATTTGCTATGGGAGGGGCCTTCTCATACCAAGACCCTTTGACAAAAAATAGTATGTCACCTGACGTTAGTGCTGGTTGCTAAGCAACCATCTGGTACAAAAGAATGACTGACCCTCTAGCCTGAACCCAGGAGGCCCGGGCAGTTGTGCCATTGATGCCAAGTGACCCTGGGCTGGCCCTTTCCTCATTCCAGATGCCAGTGTTGGCATCAATAGCACCACAGTTCTGGGGACCCTTCCCAGCCCAAGGAACCACCACGGTGGGGTGTATCACAATGACCGTTATAGCCTCGATGGTACCCTATCCTGCAGCTAATGAGAGGGAGAGAGCTGGGGGTCTTCAAGGTGAACTTCCTAGCACCTCACAAAAAGAGCTTGGAATAAACAGTTACTTACATAATAATCTATCATTGCTAACACAGCCTCTCCCTTGCTGCCGTCCTACCTGGAGGCTCTTCCCTGAGAGCAGGCCGGGAGCACTCCCTCAGCTTCCATGTCGGCTACGGTCTTACATGCTCAAGGAGGCCGCCCAACCACACGGCAGCCTTCATCACCCCCACACCCCAAACCTCAGCCCTGCCCGCTTTCCTCCCCCGCGCGGTACCTACCACCTGCCTACTACGTAAGTTATTATTTCCAGTAGGTTTATTTCCCGTTTCTCTCCTGTCTCCCCTACAGAGGCCAAGGTCCTCAAGGGCAGAGGGCACACAGTTTGGCAGGGGTCCCGGGCCAAATCTGCTCTGCAGCCTGTTTTGGTAATTATGGTTTTACTGAAACACAGCCATACCCACTCATTTACATATAATGTCTGGCTGCTTTCACTCTAGCGGAATGAGTGGTTCTGACAGAGACTGGCCCATAGTCTAAAGTATTTTCTATCTGGTCCTTTACAGGAAAAGTCTGCTGAACCCTGTCCTAGAAAGATCCCAGAACATCCTGCATTGGAATCATCTGGTTAGAAAGGAGAGGCCTTGCCATGGGGGTTCCAGGCTCTTTCCAGAGATACCAAATAATTCTCTGGAGGGTGGGCTAGAAACCTGCAAGTAATAGGTACTCCCAACTGATTCTTATGCACAGCACATCTTAAGACCCATTGTTCGGTAGGCTAAACTTCTGATTTGCACACGCCCTCTGGTTGGGCAGTCCTCAGCTTTTGTCATTCAAACACAATTTAGGGTCCTCTGTGAAGCCATGGCAAGGAAGGGAAGGAAATTGGTGGTGGCACAGCCTGACCTGTCTTGGGCCTGACAGTGGTCAGTGGGTCCAGGTAGTCTGCAAGGTCCCTGTGCTTGCAGTCAAGTGCAACCTCGAAGGCGGTCTTCTCTAACACGCTGAGGTAGTCAGGGTTGGCCCCCTTCTCCACCAGCTGCTGAGCCATGCCGAGCCTCCCAGTGAGTGCTGACAGCATCAGTGGGCTCCAGCCCACGGTTCGGGCCACGTGGTTGGGGTCCGCACCCCACTCCATCAGCAGACGCACCACAGCCTCATGCCCATGCTGGATGGCAGCCATCAGGGCTGTGATGTCCAACAGCTCATCCCTGCTGTCCCCTGACTGCTCGCCTGAGGAGCTGTGATGGTCCACAAAGGCACCAGCTTCCAGAAGCAGCTTCACCACACCCAGGTGGCCACCCCGAGAGGCCACAGTGAGCACGCTGGCCCCTAGACGGTTCTGGGCATTGATATCAGCTCCATGATCCAAAAGGAGGTGTGCCACGCTCACGTGCCCAAATCTGCCAGGAAGATGGAGAATTAGTGACACTAACATGGAACATTGATAAGGAAACAGCTTATGTGATCCTCATTTGTCATTAATTATTAAAATCATAGCAGTTACTTATTATAAAAGGTCTTCTGGTATCCACCAGCACAAAGGTGAGCAACTGCCCTGTCTAGGTTCGAATCCAGCTCTGGATCCAATCACTAGCTGTGTGATCTTGAAAAAGAACTTTAGCTTCTTCATGACTTCATTGCCTTATCTGTAATATAAGGATGTAACTGTATCTACTTCAAGAGCTGTTGAGAATTAAATGAGTTACTATACATATATATGATATATATATATAGCACTTATAACAGACTTTGGCCAAAGGAAGTACCTCATGAATGTTAGATATAATAATCGTTTTATCTTACACGTTACACAAAGTACCGAAGTCATGCAGCTGGTAAGAGGTGGTGTCAGGTCAGAACCCAGGTCTGTCCGAATCCCGATGTACTCACTCTTTCCCCTACACTATACTGCGTCCCACATCTCAGAGTTCATTTCATTCTGCTTTATAGTCTTGTAATCTATCTCTGCCTGTGCTGACTCCCGTGGGCAGAGCTCACATCTGACTCATGTCTACCCATCCCCAAACGCACACACAGAAGGTCCTTCAAGATGAGCCAATGCACCCCATGCCAAGAGGTGTGGCATGGCTGTGGTCAGCAGAGAGGGGCTCAGGCTCCTCTTACCAGAGGCCTGCTGCCACCTGCTGGCAGGAGTGTCCGCTGCCAGTGGCTAAGAAATGGGCCTGGGCCAAACCTTTCTCCCTGAATCTTGAGCTGGCCAGGGAGATATAAACAAGCGACCTCCAACTCCATACCAGGAAGACGAAAACAGATGCCTCTTCCCAGCAAAATCTCTTCCTTCTTTTGCCACCAGGGGGCAGGAAAGACCTGTTTTGTAGGATTTGGTTGGCACACTAGGCTCAGAGCAGTGTGTGTCAGAGTTGGAAGGAGCCCTAGACTAACTGGGAAAGAATGACAAGAGAGGGGCCGGCGGTTCCAAACCATAATGCCTGCATAATGTCTACATCTGTGAGGCAGTGTTTTGAATCTCTCGTTGCATTCCCCTCCTTTCCGGAAGTGAGGTGTATGTGTGTGTGTGTGTGTGTTTTAAAACCTCCTATAAACCCAGGGCCTCCCTTCTCCCTGTGGAGGCAAAGCCAAGGCCAAACTCTGATCTGGACTTACAAATACCTTGGGGGACATGAACCTTAACGGCACCGAGTCAGCTCAGCCTCTGGAGGGAGAGCTTGGTGAATTGGGCCTGTCCCTCCTCTTCTCCAAGAGCAGAGAGGGAGCAAATCAAATGGACATAAACTCAAATGCAGAAAGCTGCAACCCCAACCTATCTTCCTGCCTCCAGTCCTGTTCCTTCCTGCCCATCCTCCGTGATGGTGTTGCCCAAACCTAAACTTCATGGCCACTTCCCAGCTTCCCAATGTCTGAGGAAGACCTGCTGACTTTGTCCGCTTCATTTCCACTCAACCCCCATGCCAGCACCCCCCGAACCCCAACGCCTGCACTCACTGATTATATTCCTCCTACACCTCTGCCATGCCGTCTCTCTGACCAGAGCCCTCCCCTGTCCCTATCTCCTGAGCACACCCTTCATCCGGCTGCGGGACTCAATTCAGACCTCACCTCTGAGCAGCTCCCAGACCCTCCACACTAGTCCAGGTGCCCTTCATCTATGCACCTGAGCCTTCTACAATTGTGTCTTCCTGTCGGACTGTGTGTTCCCCAAGGACAGGGGGAACCTGGCTGACCTACAGTGGGGCTCAGTAACTGCTGGCAAATGAATGAGTGACTAAATGAACACTGGCATAACTAAGTAGATAGAGGATGGTCCGGAGGCAGACAATGGGAGTAACTAAAGAACTGGTGTATCCTGCACTGAGGTAGAGAATTTTTTAAAATCATGCTATTTAGTTATCAAGTGTAAAATAAAATCTGGTATAATTCCTAACATCAGATTAAAAAGTATTGTCACAATTTGGTCTCATTTGATCTTTTTTTATTTATTTATTTTTTAATTTTTTTTTCTACGTTTATTTATTTTTGGGACAGAGAGAGACAGAGCATGAACGGGGGAGGGGCAGAGAGAGAGGGAGACACAGAATTGGAAACAGGCTCCAGGCTCTGAGCCATCAGCCCAGAGCCTGACGCGGGGTTCGAACTCACAGACCGCGAGATCGTGACCTGGCTGAAGTCGGAGGCTTAACCGACTGCGCCACCCAGGCGCCCCTGATCTTTTTTTTATTTTAAAGAAAGAGAGAAAGAGAGCATGAGCAAGGGAGAGAGAGAGAGAGAGAGAGAGAGAGAGAGACTATCTCAAGCAGGCTCCACACTCAGCAAGGAACCTGACACAGGGCTCAATCCCATGACCCTGGGATCATGACCTGAGCCGAAATCAAGAACCCGACAACCAACTGACTGAGCCACCCAAGCACACCTCTAACTGGATTTTGGACATTCTTTTTAATGTTTATTTTTGAGAGAGAGAAGAGAGACAGGGTGTGAGCAGCAGCAGAGAGAGGGAGACACAGAATCTAAAGCGGGCTCCAGGCTCTGAGCTGTCAGCACAGAGTCTGACACAGGGCTCAAACTCACAAATTACAAGATTATGACCTGAGCTGAAGTTGGGCGTTTAACTGAGCCACCCAAGCGCCCCTTCCTCTCATTGGATTTTTTTTTTAATATTTATTTACTTTAAGAGAAAGGGGGGGGTGCATGACTGGGGGAGAGGCACAGAGAGGAGAGAGAGAATCCCAAGCAGGCTCCACGCACTCAGCACGGAGCCCTATGCAGGGCTCAATCTCATTAACCAGGAGATCAGGACCTGAGCCAAAATCAAGAGTCAGATGCTTAACCAACTGAGCCACCCAGGTGCCCTTCACTTGATCTTAATAAACCCTGAAATAAACTGATAATGCCCATTTCATAGGTGAGGAAACTAAAGATTTGAATGGAAAGCAGCAAATTCAGGGCCTCTCAATTTGAAACTGACAGAATCAAAACTTGAACCTAGACCCAAAAATCCCAAATCCCAGCTCTTCTGATATAACAAATTTTTAGAGAGAAAGAAAAGCGATGAATTTGGACAGAAATGCTGACATTTGGAATGCTTTCTGAATCCATGGGTAGCCCAGTCATTCAATTAGGCTGAAAACATAAAAGAACTCAAGGAAGGCTGAGATAATTTTGTGGATGCTAAGTTTCTAATAAGTAATTACTGAGGATAGGGAAGCTTGGGGCTTTCTGAACAGCTGCTGTGACTGCCAATTAATTTCGGCAATTAACACCTGTGTTTAAAGACCTGGCACAAACTCCCACCTCCCAAAGCATGAAGCAGAGGGGCCAGCTCTGCCACACCGGCAGGCAGAGAAAAGAAGGACAGAAGCAAAGAGGCCAAGGGTGAAGTTAGGGTCAAAGTAAACACCACGCAACCTGTCTCTTTAGCATTTGGCCAGTTTGGCAAGTAGCTTCCCTGTGGTCAACACCAGGAGGAAACAGTCACAGGATTTGTGGCCGAGAGCAGAGGCTGGGGAGCACAGGCTCTGGAGCCACCTGCCTGGGTGTGAATGTGACTCTGCCACTTACTAGCGGTGTGACCTTGGGCAAGTTACTTAACTCTGAGCCTCAATTCCTCATCTGTAAAAAGGGGGTGACACTACCTATACTTCCTAAGGTCTTGTATGGACCAAATGAGTTACTTCATTTAAAGCACTTTACAGGGTGCTTGACACAAAAAGTGCTCAATAAAGGCTATCATTTTCAGAGCAGGAAAAACCATGGATGTAATCATTTCTGACACAAGAGTGTTCACCAGAGACCAAACTAACGGCTGGGTGGGACCCAAGTAGATGGCCAACAGAGGTGAGTGGCTTTACTGTACATCTGAGGTCCTTCCTACCAGGGTTTCAAGTCCTGTTCACCTGTCCACCCTGCTTCCTGGGTACATCTCAAACATCTCTTTGTTTTCCCACTGTTGTCTCTGCTCTGGTCCAGGCTACCATCACCTCTCCCTGGACTGCTGCAATTCCTTGCTAACGAGGCTTTCTGACGCTAGCCAGCCCATCCCTCCAATCTGTCCTCACACTGCAGTGAAAGTGATCTTTCCAAAACATAAATCTGATTCTGCCACTCATTCTGCCTAGAACCTTCTATCAATCCCCAGTGCCCTTAGGATAGCTCATCTTTCTCAGCCCCTGCCACATGGCATCTGCCCCTTTCTCTCCAGGGAAGGATCATCTCCCACTAAGTCTAGCCCCCTCCTCCTACTGACATCAGTCTAGCGGTCCTAACAATGCCTTATGTTCACCCTTGCTTCTAAACCTTTGCGTGAGCCAATCACCCCATTCCCACTTCTTAAGTCCTGGTTAAGTTTACGGAGTCTTGACATGAATATATACATCATTCTTACCAAAAACCTTCCTCCACTTCCCCAAACTGGGTCTGCCATCCCCAGAGCTCCCCGCACTTTCCCCAACAAGCCCGATCTCTTGTGTGGCCTGTCCACCGGGACGTGAGCTGCTCCTGGTGGGACTTTGCCTGGCTCCCGCAGTGTCCCATTTCCAGGCTAGGTGGGTAGGTAAGTTCGTAGGAAACCCATGTTGAAAGAAGGAATGAATCTAAGATTGCGTGTCTCTAAGATTCCACTCGACGAGGTCTTCAGATTCTGTTTCAAAAGACCCACTCTTTCTAAGATTCTGATTTTATTACTAAAGAGCACTTCCACTTCTTGTAGTAACCCAAGTTGCTCAAAGTTTACCATTCCAGCTCTCTGGAACGAGTCCTTGACTCTTTGCCTCCCGGGGCGTCCGCGGGGGGCGCCGGTCAGCGCCGGCCACCTGGGCCCGCCTCGCCCCGGGGACGGCGGGCCACCACCCCCAGGCCCCCCGGCCCCTTACCTGGCTGCCTGCATGAGCGCGCTCCAGCCGTAGTGGTTGCGGCTGTTGACCGAGGCGCCGCGGCGCAACAAGAAGCGCACCAGCGGCTCGTGGCCCCCGGCCGCGGCGAACTGCAGCGCCGTGTTGCCCGCCTCGTCTGAGCAGTCCACAGGCACGGGCGCTCCGGCCGCCGCCGCCGCCGCCGCCCCGGGCCCGGCCGCCTCGGCCCCC